CTGTCCAACTTTATTTCCGTTGCATAAACTGAAGAATATCATTCTATTTTCATCTGCACCTCCTGCATAATCTTCAGCATTTTAAATCTTAATATTTCCATTTTTGTTGTTGTAGGGTGAAACTTTGAACCATGCGTTAGATAAATTTGATTACTTACAGTTGAACAATAACTTTTCAAAACATGCAATTTCTGCATGTTAACTTAGAGATTTCCCAATACCGTGATACAAAGGTTATTATGTAACAATTAAATGCCTCAATCTCAAGTAGATCTACATCACATCTAGCATAAATATACCACACTTGGGTTAGTTACAGCTAACAAACTGAACCCAATACGAGCTGTATAGGTGAATAAGGCTCTCCGACTCCTATAACAGACTATTCACAAAGTCCATGAAGCTAATGCTAAATACTTTAATTACAACTTTTCATTCAGTAAATATTCTATATAATCGGGTTCCAAGCAAGACCTCATAGGAATATATAGTAGGGGAAGAAATGTTCGGTTGCAGGAAGATATAAGAGTATATGTTGTATATTACGCTCGAGATTCGACTACCATTCATTCTTATTACTAGGGTTCATAAAGTAGATATAGATCACGACCCAATACACAAATATGTATAAGTTTACTGAGCCTGACTGAAATTAAGTGATTCTACATTTCGGACATAAAACTCAGAACACTAGTCCTAAGCGCTGAGTGAACCCCATTAGTCAGTTTGACATGTAGTCATAGAGGAAGGAGACTCATTATCACAGTGCACTGGGTGACACGGGTTTGAACTCCTGAGGGGATATCAGTTTGCTTAACGTTGCAGACACGCTTTGCTGACAAGTGCAAAACAGCACAAAACTTAGGTCCAGATCTCCTTGTCACTGGTTTCCAACCAACTAAGACCACCAAAGTTCCCCGAGTCGGATATGAAGACAGTTACTCAACGACGACATTGGATGGAGGTCACGCTATATCGTGAACTGACGGAAGTCGGAGACTGTGGACCATTGGATTCCAATCCAGTGGCCTAGTGGTGACGTGATGGGAGCGGAAGTCCCTGAGTTTGATCCCTGGCAGTCATGGGTGCGTACTGCTAAGGAGCCCCATACTAGGACAAAACGGATGTTCAGTGGTCCGAGGTTTCCAAGGTTTCTTCAACTAATAAATACCAGCCTGCACTAACGTAAAATTTTACATGAGTAATGAAAAGACGTCAGCGAAAGGCATGATGAAGTTTTAAGAAATAAAGAAAAGAGTTACGTCGATGGTGAAATTAGTCAAACACTTTTACCCACATTTACAACAATATAATTCATCGGAACCTAGTCCCAACGCCCATAAAATGTGTAAGTTGGTTCTTAGTTAATATTCACTGGATAAGGCTTAGGTAAACAGTAACTAAGGTTAACTTAAAGGTTGTACTCCCTTTGGTAATAAGACGAGATTCAAAGGTACATGAGATTGATTTTGAACGCGTATAGCTGGTATAAAACTAAATCTTAACGTGGAACTCACAAATACAAAGAATACTGAAAGAGAGATCAAACAGTGAACACGCAGTGCTTTCATACGAAATTGGGAATTGTGATATCGTCCATGACTTTATCTGACCTCGCTCCAAAGTATGAAGGTAAAATATGACGGCTATAAGAGAACATGCTTTATTGGCAGGTTGGTCAGTTGATGTGACGTCGTCCACTTATAACACTTGGAACAAATTTAAAGACACACGTAAAATTCGAACTTATCCGCACATTAGTCAATCCTGTGTAGACTTACTAACTGTCCTCCGTGGATAACTATGCAGGCTAAGAAAACACTCTGTCGGAGGAAAAGGTTGTGGAACCTTTTCATTACAACGGATTTTGACCAATTTAGAACAAGGTGCACTGGATTCAATATTTCTCATAAAAGCCTGATTAAATGATATAGGTTGGTGTAGGAGGGGCTTTTCTAGGAATACTAGCACTTTCCTAGGCGATCATTAAAAGAACTCAAGGGAATGAAAGTATTCCAGTCCCAGTACTGCATGAAAATTCAAGTAGCTGGTAATAATACGATCGAGACTAAAGCTTTATTACAATACTTCAGCCAAATATTCTCTGAAGATTTTATTCAGAGATAGGAAACTATTTCTATTAGTGAGACCAGAAAAGTGAAATCAGTGCTCATTCAAGTTGTTTGAAAACTATTCTAGAAAGTCAAACTGACAGCGTTCTGTGGTCCAGATGAGATAAACCCATGTGTACTATCAGCATTGGTAGATATCATCACCGAATCGTTATCTTGGCGGTTTAGGATGTTACTGAGTTAATCGAAAACACCCAATGATTGGAAGGATGTCATCAATCCAGTCATAGACATCTGGTGGTTAGCACTATTGTCCAATTAGTCTGTTCGTTAAGCTTTTGGAAAAGATTATCCGTAGTGCCATTCTGTTGCATGTTGAAGCGAATAGGCTTTTAGCAATTGAACAATATGGGTTTAACAAGTCTCATCATTGAAAGAGATAAGTTGCTACCAGCGAAGGACATGTTACAACTCACCTAACATCCACTGACTTTATTAAAGCTCCGGATATGCTGTCTGACATAGGTCTCGAGAATCCGGAAAGCTCTGGGAATCATGATATAGTTAAAGGCTGGGTAAAAGACTTTCTTTAAGACATAAGACAGATAATGAAGGTAAACAGACTTTCTTCCTCTTGGAAACCAGTGAAGAGTGCAATACCGTGAAGTACTACCATAGGCCTGCGTTTATCCCTACTCTATACAAATGAACTACCCAGAACGTCTAGATTTTCCATCCTCACGCTAGCAGATGAGCTATTCAGTGATGAGGATAGACTATTACTACAGGATGACCTAAATGCTTCAGTAGGCTCACCCACAAGGTTGACCATAAAAACTAGTACCACCAGCAGTGTATTCTTACGAATATGCCACGATGATCGACATGACTACTTGATCAGTGACATGTTGCTGCCCAAAGTAAATGAATTAAATGAAGCTGATTGTAGAGTGACAGCTGTCAGATGCTTTTGAGTCTTGTTGCTCTCATGAAAAGCCTTTCAGAACCTTATGCCTAACGTATGCAGGCTCGTGATTCGAACATGGCTCTGAGAACTGAGAAGGTCAGGGAGTGCTCCAACTTCTCGTACAACGAAAGACTAGTTTTGTCGGGGTTTCTTTTACTGTTTTATCGTTAAAAAAGGGGTGATCTCATTTTGGCGTGTCCTATATTGAGTAATGATCTACGTGGTAACCTATCTAGCTTATTTTTCACCTCACCTCAAGGGATATCATTAAAAAATTCGCAAAACAAACCGAATCGTTTATCTCTAGAAATCCGTTTCTCGGAGAGTTATGAACCAGCCTCTCTTCAGTAAGAAAAAGAGTAGGACGAATGAGCTGCACCATCCCTTGCAGTAGATACTTTTATGAATACTTAGATTCTATTTGAGTGTCCTTGCCGAAGGAGCTGAAAGACTTGCTGACCCTAGGCGGGAGAAACGCAGGTTTATGCTAAGTTGATTCGATCACGATTTTAGGACTTTCTTATGATAGTCTTGGAGGTAATAAATCCTAGAGGGAGATAAACGCAACATATAATAATAGCGAAATGATAATTAGGGATAAGAAATGATAGCAGGATATCATCCCTTTTCTTAAAACAAGAAAGTGGAACTCTACTAAGAAGCACATTGTTTACCCCCTCATGTTGATACTTTCGAAGAGTCAGAGAAGTACTGTCACTAGCAAAGATTATTATAAGTCACTAGCCTACTACCATTATATCTGGACCCTGTACTCATAAAAAGTTCAGTTTCCAGACAGCATTAACTATGCCACTTAGCATGTCCTTACCTCAGGCCCAACTCCTTAGGGACTGGAAGAGTGCTGAAATAAGTTTTGTATTTGAGACAGGTATTTAAAAGCTAGTCACTCACAACTGACCCATTAGCCTTACTAGTATCGTGGTTAAGGTGATGGAAAATATGTGATGAGTTATTGAGACATTTGGAGACGCATAACCAACTGACACACAAGCAACATGGTTTCAAGGTTAGAGGCTCTTGGTTAACAAAATTTCTGCTGGTGAGGGAGGATTGAGTGAGGTCTAGAGACAATGAACTTCCTATGGATGTGGTAGTTATTGACTTTAGCAAGGTTTCGGAAAAATTGTGGAAAACAGGGTTGATGATGAACCTTCGCAGAATCAGTATTTACAATGAGACTTTGGCCGGCACTATGAAATATTTGCACGATAGAAGGCAAAGAGTAAGAGTGAATGGAACTGTCTGAATGGCAACCTGACACCAGTGGTGCTCCTTAGAGCACTATCCTTGAACCAACATCATTTCTTCTTAACGTTTATGAAATGCGAAAGATGCTCTGGCTATCACTTCTACTTGCTACTGACGTCAGTACATGAAGGATTATCCATAACGATGATGAAACATTTCCAACTGGATTAATCCATGCGGACCTAGATGAACTCGTTGGATGTGTGTCATAAAAAAATACTTGCAGCGCATTTACAAACCTTTGGAAGCGTCCAGAATTTTCGGTTGGCTTCTGTCAAAAGTTGCACCATAAGGATTTTTGATTGCGTAGCGTACCTTATTATAACGAATGCTGCACGGGAAAATGACCGGAAATACGGGCTTATAAATGCAGGTAAAGTGATTTCACAAACTTCTGGGACACCCAGTAACTTTTGACGACCTCGAGGGAAAACTTTTATATTTTTTGAGGAACTTATTGCACATTCCTAGGTACGATCGAGTGACTTTTCAAGGTTTTCGCTTAAAACTTCCAAAGTGCGCCCAAATTAAACTCTGACTAGGTAATCGATCGGCTGTCCAACTCGATTCTAGACGTGGTACATATTCTTACATTGAAATAAGACCATCAGTGATATAAATCACAAAAAATTGAAGTCTTTACTGAATAATTTTACTACTTTAGAGATGAATATCTTATGTATTTAGCTTACCCTCCATTGATAAAAAACGGTTGGATGTGGGTAAACAAGACTGAACCGCTCCTGAGAACACTCGATCGCTACCTGTGAACACGACATCCACGAAAACAATATATGACTTTACGAGCGACAAGACGTTATTATCGTCTTATGCCTAAATGAGTTTGAAAGTCCGCTACTCTGAAGCACTAAGGCCACCGATATCCAACTGATGATAACAACATTACCGTATTGTACATTTTTGCAACACCTCTTGTTGTGGAAAAAATGATTGACGAATGACTTCGGTTATGCATTCTTCGTGTCATAAATGAGTCTTAACTTGGCGCCTGCCTCCCAAAAGACGTTTTCATACATTGAAGAATAAAAACGTAATTACAAGACTTAGATTATCTGAAAAATGTAGTGTATCTGCACTATACATTTCGAACAGTATGAAAACTGGAAGTGGAGGAAGGACAAATACAACGTAAAGGGATACAATAATAGATCAGATATTTCAAACTGCAGTGTGCGAAAGCATAACATATTTTACATAATAATGGTTTTCTCACTACGTTGTCCACACAGCTAGAACTGAAGTAATGTTTCAGATTCATTGAAGTGACTTCAAATGCCATCCTAGCAACTGCTGAGATAACCAAACATGTTTCTTCACTTTTGAAATAACTATCTTCCAGGCCGAAATGCCGAAAGCTGATTGGTTATTTCAGCAGCTGAAAGCGTAGTCGTTAGAGCCTCTCCGACTATTGGATAAAGTTCATGGTCACTCACTTTTAAAGTTATGCCTTCCTTCTGGGCGAAACTCGGGAATTGTCGCTCTGAGACCTGAAAACAACGAATTAATGCAAGTGAGTTTATGGTGTTGCTGCCTCCTCTATGAAAACCTCATGAACTTGTGTATAAACCAATTAAATTGAAAATGGTATTTCAATTTGCACTCAATTTGCACATTCCTCCTAATACTTGCAAAACCGGATGCTGTTTTAGGATTTGTCCTGGTGCGAACTTGACAGACGCAAAGACCAATCACTAATTATTCGAACTTGTTATATACCCACGAATACGAGACCAAGGAAGAACACGATAGCGTAGTCGGATGGAATAGTATATTTGGATGGTTATGCCAAAATACCGATGCGTTCCAACTAACTGGCTAGAGAGTCGAATACGAGCAATGCAACGTAACACGACAGCGTGCCAAATGGCGAGGATGCTTGACCGGGTGCCTTCAGCTTAGCGAGTCCAGTTAAACTATCAAGGTCAGCATCAATGTCGAAAGTCGTCAAACCCTAGGCTATTGATTTTGGGGAAGTGTATGACGCTACAGATCACTCCCCCCTTAAGACGATACCAGCCGGAAGTAAAAACCCAGTGGTTTCTCCACTGGTAAAACTCTTCCGATGGGCTCACTGCGTGAGGTGGCCCCTGGTTGTCTGAACCTTATTCTAGGGTGTCGTGGCAATTAAATAAATAAAATACAATAAATGAATTGTACGTCGGTCGCGGTCATCTGTTCCTTTCGACGTTCCGTCCAGTGCTCGTTGCACCTGGAATATAAATAAAAGTCTTTAATACCACGAAAACGTTTTGTAAAAATGGGAATTATTTTTATATAAACATATCGAAAAATAAAAATTTACGCTTATCTTCACCGTTTTTTTTAAAATTTCATTACATGGTAAATAAAAATTGATATAAAAAGGCAAAGTGTACGAGGGTTTGTATTGATGTATCGGGTAGCAGTCCGGAGTTGTTTTGGCGTTGAGCCTTCGGTAATCACCGGTTGGACGCCAGTCGTTGCTATCCTTTTGGGAACCATGTGCAATGGCGATGCCCAAGGATTGTTTGACGGTCTGATAATGCCCAGTTCGAGCATGTGGTCGAATTCATTTTTCGCCGTTTTGAGCTTATCGGGGGCTGAACGGCGCGCTTTGGATGCCACAGGTGGACCTGTGGTTGTGACGTGATGCATAACATTGCTGGTTATGCACGGAAGAGTGTGCTTCGGTTGCTGTAACTCTGGATATTTCTCCAGAACTGCCTGGTAGGACGCGTCGCCTGATTGTTTAGTTCTAAACTCGGACCTACATAGGTGGTGCCGCCAATAGATAACTTTGTGTTGTTATCTATCAGTCGTCGACGGCGAGCATCTACGAGTAGATCGTAATGGTTTAGCAAATCTATGCCAATGATGGGCATAGAGACGTCAGCAAGGAGGAAGATCCAGTGGATAGGTTTGCGTAAACCTAAGTTGAGGTAGGCATACCGTCTCCCGAATGTCGCGATTGCCTTGCCGTTGGCTGCTTGAAGATTGAAGGATGGGTCGTGATGACGCTCCTTTGTCGTTGCTGGAAGAACGCTAACTTCTGCGCCGGTGTCGACGAGGTAGCGGACTTTCGTTTTAATGTCGGTGACGTAGAGCAAACGGCTTTTTCCGCCGGCTACGGTTGCCGTGAGCACGTGCCGGCGTGACCGTTTCCCGAGTTTGTGTCCTTCTTAAAACGGCATGGTTTACGACATTTTCTGGCTTCATCCCCGTAAGTGTTATGAAACCAGCACCATTCAGGGTTTTCCACCCTGTTGGGTTTCGTTTTAGGGCTACCATGCGACTTGCTGCGATGCGCCAAGGTGCGTTTCTGTGAAGTGCTACGTGATCTAGGACTTCGAGATCGTAGCAACCGTCTCACAGAGTTGCACAACTTGGTCACCTCTGAATCCTGGCGCTCTGGTTTGTCGCAGATAGAATATACGTTGGAGACGGGTCTGCTGGATATCTCCAGTATTTTATCTGCTGAGGCTGCCAGGTCGTCGAGTGGGACTGACTGGAGTGTCACCAACACGGTTTGCACCGGTTGTGGTAGTTTCGAGAGAAATAGTTCTCGGAAGAAACCATCGTCAAATGTTCGTGCACCGATTACTTCTCGCATGCGTGCGAGGACTTCAGTAGCTGAGTGGCTGCCTAGCTCGATGTTACGAAGCAATTCGTCTAGACGTTGGCGATCTGTGAGATCGCTTTTCTTCAAGAGTGCGGCCTTTAGAAGTGCATAAGGGTTACTTACTTCAGGATTAAACATGTTTGCTGTAACATACCTGTTTAATTCTCGCGGTAGTGACCGTATGACAGCAAGAAATCGAGATTGAGGATCTGAGACACCCTGTTCTCGAAAATTGGCCTCGGCATACAGAAACCATGTTTCTGCATTGTCTGGCCAATATGGCACGAGTTGGATCGTGTTCGTAGTCGGCTTAATACGAATAAGCTTGGGAGTGTGGTCGGACATGAGAAAGTGTAGTAAATGGATATATAAATGTTATCGAAATGAAAACAATAAACAAATATAAAATGGAACAGGCTCACCAATTCAATACTTGTTATTGGTCGGGATATGTGATCACGTCGGGCTCACCAATTTAGGATTTGTCCTGGTGCGAACTTGACAGACGCAAAGACCAATCACTAATTATTCGAACTTGTTATATACCCACGAATACGAGACCAAGGAAGAACACGATAGCGTAGTCGGATGGAATAGTATATTTGGATGGTTATGCCAAAATACCGATGCGTTCCAACTAACTGGCTAGAGAGTCGAATACGAGCAATGCAACGTAACACGACAGCGTGCCAAATGGCGAGGATGCTTGACCGGGTGCCTTCAGCTTAGCGAGTCCAGTTAAACTATCAAGGTCAGCATCAATGTCGAAAGTCGTCAAACCCTAGGCTATTGATTTTGGGGAAGTGTGTGACGCTACATTGTTTACCTGTACTCACATTTTGGCTTGTGGCGGTAATTATGGCTTTCGCTGCTGTTAATCGTGGATATATAGTGTGCTTCTGACCATTCCGACTTCTGTCTCCATGACTATTCCCTGTCGTGCATACTAACTGTTTGTCTTGGGATTTTATAAGACTTCTCATCCTACTTCCGAATGTTGCGACGATCAAGCCAGCCAGCGACCATTGCGAAGAGCCAACAAATATCGCCTTCTGATCTCGGAAGTATCCAAGATTGTGGTGGACAATACCGAAGGGATGACCTCCAAGTAACCAGCGATCACCTATAACATTGACAACACTATTTGTGTTGCAACGTACAACTTTTCATACTTCTGTGTCAGTGAATCTATTTTTTTGTAAATTATACTTGGTTTGTCATTTTGGTCAACTTGTCACTCTTTAAGTCCACTACACCTCAAGTTTTCTTCTAATGCTCTGAATCTTCTGATATATTTGTGCTTTTTGTAGACATCATGCAATGTTTTTTACACATGTATTATTACTGTACTCTTTTCGACGGTTGCGTGTATTATCCATCGTTTTCTACTCTTATAGCCTTTCATGTCGCTGTTGCATTTTCATCTCAGTTTTACTCCAAGATGCTGCTTTTTGATGAAATTTTGCACCACTAACCTGTTCCTCCAATGGCTGTTAAAGCATTTTGATGCCACCGTCACATAAATCCGCAAGAAAGATTCTAGGAATCTCTCACCAAATTACAGACCGGTAGGTTTGACTAATACTGTAGTTTAAGGACTGTTCTAGTGCGAAATGTGACGGACGTAGAGGCCAGTCGCTAATTAGCCGTACCTGTTTTATGCCCCATGAATACGAGACCAGGGAAGAAGACAAAAGCGTCGTCGGATGGAATAGTATATTCGCGATGTTGCGCCCAGGGACTGATGGGTTCCGACTGGCTAGCTAGGGTAGTCGATTAAGAGCAGTGCAAGGTAACACGACAGCGTGCCAAATGGGGCGGACGCCTAACCGGGTGCCTTCAGCTGTGAAGGTCAGGAGCAATGTTGAATCTTGTCTCACCTTAGGCTATTGATCTTTTCAGACTACGCTAGTTTGTTCTTCGATCTCGTATTTGGGGACACATTACAGGTGAGGATTATTGATGACTGTTCTCCTTGTCCGTCAAGCTAGCGGAGGGGAATTTTCTGAAAAGCCCCTCATGATCGAAGAAAGTTGAGCGCAGTCTGACGGTGATGGGATGTGTTTCGAAGTCATTTTCCCGGACTTCATTAAGGTGTTCGACAGGGTTGCTCGGTAAACCGGAAAGCGTTGGAATCACAGCCAGCCTACTTGCATGGACAAGAAAGTTCCTTGTTGGTAGGAGGTGAAGAGTAGGGATCACTTCTCTTCTCTCTACCTGGAAGTCGCGGAGAGTGGAGTGCCTCAGGGCACGGCCCTGGTTCTCTGGCCATTTCTCCTATGTATAAATGAGCTGCCAAATAACACGAACTCCCCTACGGTTTTCCACGCTGATGGTGTAAAAATCTGGCGGAAATTAGGAGTGGCTAAGATACACAAGCAGTTCAGACAGACCTAAACGGTCTGTTTGGTTGACCAGAGAAATGGATAAGGTGCATCATAGCACACAGATGACGAGACCTACGATATTGACGTGACTCCTCCACCGGCAGTGCCGATCTACAATGACCAAGGAGTCACAGTGAGTCATGGTCACGGCCCGACCTCCCAAGACCGACTTAATGAGCCAAGCCTCTCCTCTTTACTCTTCGCAGACAGGGTTGATCTAACCGTGCTATACGGGATTCGACGGAATAATTTTGGGCCTGATCTATCTTCCCTTTTCCTTCTCACTAGGTCGTGACACGCCAGAGGAGATAGCAGAAGACAAAGCAAGGAACGAACATAAGCTTTGCAGGGTACTGCTCCTCGCGCCGAGTAACCGACTACTAGAAGAAGCGGTGCCCGCATCATCAACATATCCTCTTGGACACAGGGATCTACCGGAAGGGGATCAATGTAGGCTCATGGCCTTCCGCCCCTAAACAACATGCCGGAATCTGAATCTTATGCCTCATACTCAAGATTTGACCTTGACAGTATGCAGAACATAATATTTTCGAAGAGTGACCTGGTGAAAGCGTGCAACTGGGTACCTCTGAAGGCAGAAGATAACACGGAAACAGCGCCTATTGCACCTTTTGGACCGTTTTAATTCCCGTGCATTCATTTTGGTCCACGGAATGTAGTACAAACATTCCATGGTTTTCATTTTGTTTGTGTGGACACCGACGACTATTTCACTGCGAGTCCAGATAGGGAAAGTCATCCTAAACATTTGGGTCTCTCATTCCATCCACTAAAAGAGGGCTGTACTACAGTCAACATCTAGAAATGTCAAATGGTATTTGAATCGCCTGATTTTCTTGGGCGTACTATTGACAACAATGGCGCGCGCTCATTGACAAATGAGGTAATAGCTATTCTTGACTGCCCTTAGCTGACCGCTCGAAAGCAGCTCCTCACTTTCAGCAGCCTGGTTAGCTGTTACCGAATATTTAATCCCCATTGTTTCTCTCTCACGAGGCCACACACGGATCTGCCTCAAGGGAACACAAAGCATAGGACACTAGATAACGCGGCTAGACCTACTTTTTGCAAGCACAGGGAAGGCATCGCAAATGCAACGACGCTCATATACCATTACCCTAATGCCTCTTTGAGTGTTGCTGTCTGTCGATGCACCTAACACTGGAATTGCGGCAGGATTGTAACAGCTGGCTGGCAACCGGTGGCAGCCACCAGCCTTTTTCTTGAGGTGGATGCAGGGGGCGGAAACACGGAATAGTACGTTCGGCAGGGAACTCATAGCTATGTACTGCCACACGTGACATTTTCGACATTCGGTTGAGGGTTGCAATTTCATCATTTCCCCGGAACGGAAACCAGCTACCCTCTCTCTCTTGGTTCAGTATCCAATCAGCACTCCCGGAGTGGGTCACGACAACCGGACTGTGTATCCAAGTTCACCTCAGACTTTCGCCGTATGTACGGGGCAAACAACCTTGTGGCCGACGCATCATCTCGAATACATGCGATGATCCGAATCCAGCACTGACCTTGTTGGATTGGCTCAGCTTCAGAAAGAAAATCCTGGGGTGGTCCACGAGTTGTCAGCCACAACAGAATCCGGCGAGACAAAATACAGATGCAATTTTATGTAATGCGTCCCCCGGGCGACGGCGCCTGGTGGTCCTGAAACGGTGTTCACGCAGCGCTTTCAGTACTTTGGACAATCCGTCTCATTCAGATGTACCAGCCGCCATCAGGCTTATCGCACAGCGTTCTTCCTGGTCTGAAACGAACGAAGACAATAAATAGTGGTCACAGTCATGCGTGACCCTTCGAAAGTGTAAGGTCACACGATATACAGCAAGCCTTTGGGGTTCTTTGCTAGTCATGGATGCGCGTTTCCACCATGTCCATCTAGATATGGTAGGACCCGACCAGAATCTAATGGGAACACACCCTGACCGGCGTGTATCGCTTTGCGGGGTGGTCACTGCCTATTTAGGAAGTTAGTTGTGAAACTGCACCAAATGTCTCCACAAAAAGATGGATGGAAACTTTGAATGTCCACCCTACGTAACAGTTGACCGCGGGTACCAACTCGAGTGCGGCTTATTTCACGTTGTAACCGGATGCTTAGGTAACATTAGGTTTCAAGCGTTGGCCCACTACCCATAGGCAAATGGCATGGCAGGACGCTTCCCCTGACATTTGAAGGCTGCCCCTCAGGCTGCAGACATGCCTCAGTGGGTCGAGGCACTGTCTCTGATCCTGCTATCCGGAACGTGTTGAGATCTGATTCTAAATGTGCTTCCAGATAGATTTTTTACTCTTTACCTACCAGATGAGTTCGTTTCCCTTTCAACTTTCACCCGTGTTTCTGATGGAATGTGGCACGTCACTAGGCCTACGGGTGTGACGCCTTCCGTTAAGCTTGTTACTGTTCGACCCCAAAAGGTGGGTGTCTTCATTCACCCGGAATAGGTCACACTCTTCCGCACGCCATGACAACGTTCGTCAACTACTTGAACCACCCAACGATGGATTATTCAAAATCATCAAGCGGCACGAAAACTGCCGTGTAATCTAGCAGAACGGACGTGAATATGCTGCTAGTATAAGCTATTTGAAACCAACATGCTTCGAAAGTAACCCTATCGGAGACATTGTTTTCGGTCACAGTACTTGTCCCCCCTTAACGCATGCAGCGAAGGCGAATCCACACAACTGCCAACTATATGGAACATTGCACTGAACAAACGGGGTGCTGAACAATATAGAAAGACCATTTTGATGACACCCACTGGCAAACACATGAGTGAATTTCACCATATTATTCCGCCTGTCGATATGATCAAGGGGGAAATATTTTCCAAAAATCAGCAATAACAATCAATATGTGTCCTCGCATAGAGTGTTTTACATGAAAAGCGACATTTTACATGCGTCATCAGGCTGATGTAAACTGAAATAATCTCCAGTTTCCGCTTGTCTGTTTTTCTGGTTATTCACGCTACGTACTTTTCCTCCTGAGATTACAGCTACTGCAGTAGAGGGATTCAATACTGATGCTGGTCTTTGTAGTCTTAACGGACTTGTTAAGCTGAAAGCACCCGGTCATGCGTCTACGTCATTCGGCACTTCATCATAGTACGTTGCTCTGTTTGTGCATAGTCCCCCAGTCAACTAGTTGCTACGCAAGACATCATCGGAAGCACTGGGCGCCGACTTCTTTCGAACTCACTTTCGATACCACATACATAGGACAGCACAGAAACTAAAACCTGAACATAGCAGACTGGATTTTAGGTGCAACGTCCACCTGTAAAAAGTAGTTACGGTTCCCAATGTCTTCCGAACAGAATTGACCCAGGTGAATATACCGGGACCATTTAAGCGCTGACTTAAAAAGTGATTGCGATTTAGGCCTGAGCTGAGTCACAGGTAATCTCCCCTACCTATTCTACTGTATCCTATGGTCCTTCTTCGCTTTTTAGCCAGATTCGCAGCCAGAGGAAGTGGTGTTTTAGTGGTTTTAGATGGGCGGGTCATTTTAGAGGAGGCCACGCCCGAGGAAAACAGATGCTTCAGTGTAGTCATCCAGGGTTCGGTTCCAGAGCCTCTCCTGTCTTTTATTTTGTCAAATGACTAGCACTTACATGTTGTTTCCGAAAGCGTTCCCTTGGCTGATGATGTGGGGCTATGGAACGAAAAAAGTGGCGAAGTTGGCCAGTTTGCCTCGTGAGATGATTTTAACCGACTTCGACATTAGACATGCTAAAACAGGCCAGACTTCAATTCTGGAAAGTGTAGGGTGACACTGGCACTATATGACAAATGTCACCCACCAAACCCTAATGGAGTAGAAATAATTCATTCTGCGTCGAAAAAGAACTTGGGGTTTTGAATCCTCTGATCTTAAATCTTACGCTATCTGTGAGAAAGCTGTATTCTTCGCAACTGGCACCCGTATCCCTGTGACTAGTCCCGGACAGTGTTTCTACCGAATACTAAATGGTTTCACGTGGCTTTGCCCATAATTTTGGACCATCGTCTTTCTTCCTTCTCTCCAAAAGATAGGAACCTTTGGAACACACCAAAAGACACTACAGCAAATCCTGTCATGGACCACGTTTTAGAAAATATGAGACGCTCATGGCAGCAATGAATCTGTATCCCCTGGGATAGGGGTGATAAGAAGATGACCAAATAGGAATGCGCAACATTCCAAACGCTTTGGTTTACCCGCTTGAGCTAAGCTGTTATACGACTCATAGGTAGAACGCCCAGAAGTACGAATTTGAGTGCAGTAGGCGTAACCTAAACTCCCCAAGAGTTGTTAATGCTTGGAATGTTTCCCTTGTGGGATCTGTTTGGGCTAAACCCCTGAAACCCTTCAAACACAAACGATGTCAGCTTATGGCTCCAGAGTGATGTTATAGACTAATTCGTTTGTAACCTGGTCTTTTTAATTTATACATTTGTTTTTTCCTTCTTTGTCTTTATTTCCACGCCCTCAGATTCGGGAGCTAGTGTCCCACCGACTATAAACATGAAAGCAATTTATGTGAAAGCTTCTTCTATTCCGTCAACAATCATTCAAAAGTATGCATTGGATGTTGAAATCAGGTCTATGATAATACAGCGTGAATTAGCCTTATACGTTACATTCAGGCATGGTGGTTTTCGTATGTACACAATGTAATGCTACTTTGAAAAAAAGTAATGCTCGACTCCACTTACAGTCTTCGAGACCTTGTTCTGTGGTATCATGTGTAGACTGCCATAAAGATTTTGAGTAGGTTTGCAACATAATTTATGCCAATGTAGTAAATCGTCGGTAGACTCTCACTGTGTGTGTATCTCTGAGAAAGAGAAGTATGACAAAGCAAGGTTTATGGAGTCATCAAAGAACGACAAGTCACACAAGCAGGCGGAATGGATTGTGAAAATCGAAGACCTAATCAAAAACTGTAAATCTACTAAACATAAGAAGCTACTTGAAAACCTGCGAGGCGCTTCTAATGTGCCAAAGAAGAAAAAGAAGTTCCAGGTAGCTTTCAAGATTGCCTAATTAAAAATGCAGAACTTCATGAAGTCAAAGTATCGCGGTATACCCAGTCAAACCATAGACGAAATATGGGGATTGTTAGAGACGGTCAAACCTGTGTCTGGATATAATGTTTCTTCAGTATCACAGAAAAGATCAACTGTGGAGATACAAAATGAAAAACCAAAGCCCAAGAAACAAAAGTTGGATGGTAGGTTTTTCCTATAAACAACGCCTTGGCAGTAAATGGTTGTGCTTCCCATATATCCTCCGATCTCATTAAAGAAATTTTGGCACAGTTTGGCGACCAAACCTCCTTCAAAGTTTTGAGTAAAAAGGTTTGTCTAGAAATTTTTATTCTAATTCGAGTCACTGGTAAAACTTTGCTTTCTGTGTCACAGTAATGCTACTTTTCAGGAGAGCATGGGAAACTATTACCTAGTTTCGTAGGATGGCTTCATTAGATGTGCCTATAAGATGATGGAAGATATAATACATCTCAAAAGCCCCTTTTTGAGTTGTGTACTAGAGTGTGGGCCACCCGTGTTCCTCCAGGCCGAAGTGAACAAAGTGGAGTTTGAACCCGAGGTCTATATCTTGGAATTCAAGTGTCTCAATTAACAAGCTATATATGTGCTGTTAAATAATATCGTAACTTGTACCAGCCTCTGGGGTTCTATGCTAGTAACCTATATGGCTTACTACATCCTTAAATAGTATACGCATTGAGTAGAAATTCTCATCAACCAAGAACATTGTACAGCGAGTGAAAAACTTCGCTTACTGTGTGAAAGGTAGTTGTACTAACTAACTGTCAAAACCTCCTTAGGCAGAGTCAGGTCAAACCCTATACCTACTGACTTGAGGTCAAGTGCCCCAACCAGTGAGTTGCAGCTCCTAGTGTGAACGTATAAAAGATGTGTTTGTTTGTCCTTTTGTAGGTTTCACCATTGTTAACAACAGAAGTAAAAGGTTTTTCGTTCACCTTAAAAGCAAAACCTTTCTGGTAGATAGATTAGTGCTCTGTGGCTTCGGTTCTAGATTCTGTTTCCAACCACAAGTCCTGCTATTAAGTCCAAACTATTTTCTTTTGTTCTGGTCGTGGTATTGCTTAGTCAACTAACAGTAATAAGAGCGAGACCTTAACAAGACGATGGCTAATAGCCTAGTGCTTGAGACGACAACTACAGTTGGCCAATTTTGTACTGATTTTTAGGTGTTACTGTTGCCTAACACTTGACCAGCCTTACATAAATTAATGTGCATCAGTGCCCAACTAATTAGTACCTTGCCTGCATGCAAGTACTGATAACAAAAGACATGCGAAAACATTATGCGGTCGGTAGTACTCAGACAAACAGTTTATTTATTAGTCAGAGAATAAGAGGTTAAATTAAGGGGAGGGTGTTACCTTTTCTGTCCATTAATGGCTAAGCTAGTGTTTCCTACCAAAACAGAGCAAAAGCACAAATGACGAATGTCAAGGTGTGTATGCGTATACACTAAAACAAATTTAGAGAACTAAAGTCACTCGACGCCGTCACACGAAAGCACCACACTTTACATGTATTGTAAAGTTCTCGAACGATAGTCACGCACATGGCGTGACCAGTAGTTTGCCTTGTTAATTGTTATTCGTAACACTATTATAACCCGGAACGAATAACCCAGTAGTCGTGTCGTTTTGGAGTTACTGTTACCTATACATATCGCCCTAAACAGTGGAGTAGCTGTATTGTGTAGGAACACGTATCTTAGTAACCGAAAGTAGGTTTCCAAACACTGTCCATAACTCTTACTTGGACATATTCATATTAATTCTAGGGGTTCAAAGCTATAAACCATAATTGTTACGAATGCTCTATAAGTATATAGGAAACAAGTCTGATTTGATCATTATGACAACAAGCTTTTTATCATCTCAGCAAGTTTAGAATATTCAAACAACACTTTCCCAGATAATTCATTATGTAAGCTACAGCTTCACCAGCACAATGTTCGGACTCTTAAGCGTCAAAAGTTTACGCAATCAAATGGTACATAAAATTACTTGTGTGTAGGTCAATGCGTAGCTGTTTTGTTGTGGCGCATTGATTTAGGCAGTTCACTTTCAGCTAGTGGGTCACTGGTTTGAACGTCACTTCGATATCACTCTTCCCTACCCACTTGTTCTTTGTGTATTACTGTAAAGTGTGCTAACTCGTATCGAAGCACTTGTGTGCAAGGTTTTACGTTGGTTTTGTCTGTCTGTCCACGTACTGCGTTCTGGGCTGCCAGGTGGAATCACTATCCCTCGCACAATAGGTGTGGCTCATTGTTTAATGCATGGAAGTGTACAAGGTTGCTGAAGGAGACTCGTATGTCTACGTTTTGTGGTCTGTTGTCCAAGCTGACTAATTATGGTTAGTTGTCAAATTCCTATTCCTATTGCTATTGTCACTTGTCAAAGTATGGCGAAGTATGTTCCAAAGTATGTACGTTACCGAATATGTAGGTGTCTTGTTCCCCCTTGTATGAAAATATGAAAAAAACAAGTTCATTGGTGAGTTATAAGTAATCATTATCGTTTTTCAAATGTTCAAATTGGGTTCATATTGAGTGGTTTTGTCGGATTCGAGTCTGTCAAATAGGTTATAAGTCTATTCCTTCCTTTTTGTTGATTGCATTTGATGTCGTTTAAGTCTCTAGGTTTTATGATATCACTTATCCGAATCCTTTCCCGATTCGTCAATATTTTCACAGTCAATTTCATACTCACTTTCGGTGGCTACTGTTGGACGTTTTTCCAGACTTCTGATTCTTTCTTAGGTGAACCAATTATGTTCATCCACTTAAATTTTTGAATGTCTACAGCTATCACTGATATACTTGACCCGACATTTCGTGCATTTCATCTCATAAATATAGTTGTTTTGTGTCATCTTTGGAAGTACATCTTTCGCTGTGACCAAAGCTTTTTTTAAGGAATTTGAAGACTTAAAACAGACCGTAACATATATATCGAAAACTCTTCAAATTTGTCTTGAAGTACCTTTTTATTTGAAATTTTTATTGTTGATACATGGGACGTCGTTGTTATATTCTGTTTATTCCTTGTTATTCTTACTATAAACGCTTTAAAAAACGTCTTGAATAGTCGTTTACGATTAGGATTTGTTCTGCTTTCGATATTTCACTTTCTACATCCTTTGTGTTTATCACGATACTTTAGACTCTGTTCACAGCTACTGTAACTTTCATGCTCATTCAGTGATCTGATTGGAACTGTAGATATGTTTCAGAATGATTAGATTCCTTGTTAATTATTCTGATTTATATTTCCATTCTGATATTCTTCGGATGAGAAAATTTTGAAAAACTTATTGTTCTCATTCAATTCGATTTCCTTCGTAAATGTGATATTCAGTTAGTGTTGCAGAAAGCTTTCATGGTTCCCGTTTTCAATGAGAATGGACTACTCAATGCCCTCCCTTCTAGCATCTCCATATACAAATTAGCTACAATTGAAGATGCTGGTGAGCCCAATGCAACTCCATTTGTCTGACGGTATTTATTAATGTGTAAAGTATGTCGATTCAGACAACCTCAATAATACCGAGGTATCTTCACTTGACAACAGGCATTCAGCCTATAATACCTCATTGTGATCAAGTGCATTCTATACAACACTAAGTGGGTTGTCTATGGGGAGAGGTTGCAGAATGGAAAATACTGAAAGTAAAACAAATCCTAGTGAAAAAAGACTATCTGAAGCGTTTTTAAGCAGTATTTCCAATAACCATAGACGAATCGAAAAATTGGAAATAGAACAAAGTCATGGGTGTAAACGAAGTTAATCTCATCTTATGTAGTCATTCTTCAGCATAGTAAATAATTAAGATTCCAGTTACACTTGGCACTATTTAAATTTCGAATTGCCGCACGATTCGTTTGATGCATCCAATGTGTTGTCTCTGGGGCATGCAAGTGGTTAATACAAAAATAAGGAATTCACTTAACTACACTCGTCTATGTGCTCTGGATGTAATAACCGCACAGTTATTAGATTATAGTTGTTACGAATGTTTGTGATGCGTTTCTCGCCACCCAAGTGCAAATTATTGCTTCAGGACTGGTCTTCAATGGTACCCCGACTAGCGTATACCAAAGGCTTGGTTGGCTTTTGCCAACTCACACCATCTGTGGCACCTCTGCGATGTCTGATTGTCTATCAAGGATTGAGCGTGCTGTGCTGTTGCTGCTGTGTGGCTGTGAAACGTGGGGATTAAAGGTGGAAGACATGAGAAGGCTTCTGGTGTTTGACCACAGCTGCCTTCGTAGCATAGGTCGTGTTTCTTGGTGTCAGCGCGTGAGTAATACAGAGGTCAAGTGTAGAGAGAAGTAAGACAGTTGATACAGTTATGAACCTTCATTGACTAATATGGCTGGTTGGGACACGTACTGCGTATGCCTAGTCACCGATTGCCTCGTCGCACAATGTTCGTCGGCGTAGGTTCAGGCTAGAAGAAGACCCACGCGACCAGACTAAAGCATGTCATCAGTGCATAAAGTCCTTGATCGTTGGTTTGAGCCATGTAGGGCGATGCAAACTGGCCGGTTGGGGTCTGTGGAACAAGAGAAACCAGTGGTTAGAGACTAGGTGATATGGCTCAGAACCGATGTCAGTGGCGCAGATGTATGCACACATCCTCACACTAACAACTATATGTAGTCTCAATATCTTCTCGGTCTTCCTTCTCTTTTACTACTTCCTTTGACCGATTTTTCTTTCATCTTCCCTTCTATTGCCTTATTACTTGATGTGGTGATATGAGGTGTGGCAGCCTGGACCGTTACGCAGTAATGCCTGGTCGTGTGTTGATCTTGATAATGAGTTGTTACGAAAGCAGTTCTATTCATTCCCATGATCAAGAGGTTTTTGAAGCTTGAAATACTGGCAGCTCAGTTCATTCACTTAAATTTTAGTTGTTTCAAGATCATGAAATCGGTTTATCTTCATTTCACTTGATTGGAATGTTTTTAAACTTCACAAATGAATATCCCGATACTTAAGTGTTAACTGAAACTTTATACCACATTATATATGATATTCAGTGCCTTCCTGTTTCCAGTTATTTAAACTATAACTCTCATTTTATTGTTTTATTCACGACCAGTTAATAAATAAACTTTCTCCTAAAATGTGAGGCATAAAAAATCCATATTGCAATGTTCTACAACTAAAGCTAACCTGGTGCTTGAATGCTTTTCTTTATCTCTTTGAATCGAAATTTTCAACATGTACAGATAGCCATAAATTAGGAATAACAACTTGGACATGAAAAGCAGTTACGCTGAATATCTAATATGACTGTTAGGCATATTGTGAAACCATTAACGTTTTAGTCTATTCCTTCTTAAATGGTCGAAAGTTCACTGAGTGGTCTAAAGGTGACCGGTAAAATTGACTAAACTCCTGTTCTTTCTCTCTCTGTACATATGGTATGTAATATTTTTTGATTACTATCTCTGCTCTCTATTTCTCTACACGCAGATGTACTGTAAATATAAAACTAGCATACCTTCTACACAAGAATGCATGACAAAAAAGGAATTCAAAGTTAAGCTGTCTGATTTCATTCAGAACTCAAATAATCTAACTTATTCACCTACTGATGGTATGGTTAGAATAGTTGACAATGGTTTATCCATCAAAACAAATTCACGTAAGTTATCGATTTTTGTTGATTAGGTTCTAGATGGAACTTTGGATTCAAATTCTGATTCGAATAAGATCACAGAATCGCCTATTGGTCAAGATGACGAAGCACATAAATGTAAGAAAATAAAGAAGATAGCCCTGACAATACTAAGGGATAGTGGTGGACGCATTCCATTGAAAAAACTTGTTAAAAAGGTAATGATGATCACAATCATAATAGCGTTATCTGGAGGTTTATTAGTTGATTTTAGGTTGAATTCGTCACGGACTGACATCAGTCGGAGAAACATTGGAAACCTGGGAGCACTGGGCAGCTGTTTCGTCCTAGTATTGAACTCCTCAGCAGTGCACACTCACGACTCCGCCCGACTAGCGATCGAACCCCGAACCGGACCTTCAAGTCCCGTGGCCAGGACGTTACTATTGAGCCACTGAGTCGGAATCCTATGGTCCACATTTCCTATTCCTGTCAGTTCACGTTATAGCGTGCTTGATCTACATCCAATGTCGTCGTTAAGTAACTGTCTTCATGTTTGACTTGGTTGGCCGCACCGGTCACTACTTCTCATTGAAACTTCGGAAATCACCTCTCAAAGCTAGTCACCAATGAGCGCTAGAATAATTCTATCTGGAGGTTTGTGGACGTTTATTAATTGATTTTAGGTCGGACCACTGGATTCCAACCCAGTGGCTCAGTGATAACGTGCTGGCCACGGAACCTGAAGGCCCAATGCTGGGTTCGATCACTGGTCGGGCGGAGTCACGGGTGCGCGCTGCTGAGGAGTCCCATGGGAAACAGTTGTCCAGCGTTCCCAGGTTCCCAATGTTCCTCCAACTGATGTCAGTTCATGATGGATCCCAACCTAAAATCATTATAGCTTTATCTTAAACAACACGTATGGTACAGTATGTAATTTTCAACATGTAATGGTTCACCAAATTAATTCCCCTCGCATTATCTTTAAGCGAAATAATTATTGCATTTGGATAATGTCAGTAACAATAATAAAGGCCACAATGTGAAACAGTCACTTGGTAATACGGTAGCGTCTTGTTGGGACCGGTGAATGATCAGAAAATCGAGCGTAATTTTGGTAGTGGTACTTGACTCAACCAAGTACCAAAATCTGAAATTCGACATAGTTATCCAATGAATAGTCCTGTTTTGTGTTTCTGTGTGTTTATAAGCCCATCTCTTACCGGTGTATGGTTTTTTCTTTGTTTTTTTAGTAGAAAAATGGCAGTTTGAAACTATTTTAAGAGTGTTCGAGGAGTACATGACGCTTTTAAAAGACATTAAAAAAATTAAAAGGAATTAAAATGAAGGAATTTGTTGAAATATCTTCAGTGGAAAGTTTTTGGTAGCTCAGAGTTTAAGTGAACCGCGTGAATATTTTGTTTCACTGTCAATCACACTTATAGCAAAGGGAGACAGTTCAAAACGGAATGTCATTGGTTCTCTTTCTTTATTCACTTCCGTCCATAGTACATCCCATAGTGCGTTTTGCGTTGAAAAAACTAGAGGATAAATTTACTAGGAATAATAAAGCCTCGTATCCAAGACATTAATGCCATAGCTACCGAGTTTGTGACAGAAATATTCTTGGACATCTGTAATCAACCAGTTTTTTTCCATCTACCAAAAACCCTATTCTGAAGGATCTTGTGACTTCAAATCTGTCAATTAATGAAGTACTGAACTGATAATATCCTATGATATAGGTTACCAATCCTCATTTATCGCATCATTATGGTCCCAGGTAACATATTTTACACTAGATTAGATTAGTACATAGTGATGTAGTGTCATTTGTTAACTGACGTTTCGAGCACAATTTGTTGCTGAGATTCATATCGCATCACTGTGTGCTATATCAGATAGACTAATCTGAGATATGAACTTCCGTTCTACCATAGTGCTCAAATTCTTGACTTGCGGTTATTATAAACGTAAAAGTACTAGGCTGTAGTTTACCAACCTAATGCTAGGCTAGATGGTGATTACTGTAATATAAAAGCTACAGTCATTCGTCTGTATCCCGATCATGAGTTCGTTGATTTCAGTCGAACCCGCAATAGAGGCGTTTCATCATACATATCTAGTAATCTTTATTAAATAGCTTCTGAAGGTTCAGAAAAAAAGATTTGTGCTACCAAATTTCTTAGAAGGTTGAAAAGTCTCAGTGCATTTGTTTATCTAATAATTATTGCCTAAAGACTTTCCGATATGCATATATGTTCATGGCATCTTATTTTGCTGACCAAGATCCTAAGAAGTTAAGTATATTTGTCATACAAGCAAGGGATTCTAAACTTTGTATCACGATTTCATATACACCCAAGAAACGTCGTTTATCTAGTATGGTAATAAAAAAGACTTAAATGTCTACAGATCTTACCAAATCTTCATAATGAAGAGTAAATGGTGTTTCATAGGTATCATTTTGACAAAATCCATAGGTCATACCACGTCTCCACATTTTATTGAAAATATGACTGTCGCTAATGGTGTAGCACACTTATTATTCAGTTTCACTGAGTTATTGAAAAGGAATAACCAATGTTATATTATTCAGTAAAACGTACTAATGAAATTGATGACCTACATCACCAAAAAAAAACTGTTCAGGTTAGACTTCCTAGAATGTTGCTATTCTAAATAATTGATATTTTCATAAGTTGGGATTGGTTTACAGCAGTTCATTATTTAGCATATATTTTCAAATGATCTCATTCCTATAGGTACTTTTATTTGGCGTATTTTGATATCCTCGCTCCATCTGTACTTTTTGACCCCTTAACCTAAATGAGTTCAATAGAACTTTCCTTACACTTACTTTGTAATCGAATTTAACAGTCACTATTGAGGTAGTAGTAAATTTTTGCCTTTTCTTAAGTGGAATGATCACATCAAAGTCAGTCGTTTGTCTGAAAAAACCTGGAAAATATTTCTGTTGCTTTCATCATGATGGAAGAAATGTTGCAGAAGTTTATCATGATCTTAGCAATAAATAAAAATTCCCTCAGTAAGTTTTGCAGTTGCATTTACGATCATTCAATAAGACATAATAATTGAAATTTTGGAATTAAAAATGATAGATAAAATCAACGTAAAATCTTGCACACGAGTGCATCGGTTCAAGTTGCCACACTTCACAGTAGTACACAAAGAACAAATGGATGCAAAAAAACTCATATCAAAGTCAACAATTAGGCAGGTTTCAGACCTACGAGTGGGTGTATCAGCCAGATATTAACACACCATCAGCTTCAGGAAAACAGAAACATTTGCCAATGCCCGACACAGTCTGTATTTCTTGACCTAAGGCAGAATTTTACTCCATCGTTTAAGAAGACTCACGGCAGTGTCACTCGCTGAAAGGGATGACTGACTGATAAGATCCATGCAGAACCTCGCACAAAAGTTTATCGGTTCAAGTTGCCACACTTCACAGTAGTACACGAAGAACAGGTGAGTCGAAATAGAGTGATAGAATAAACAATTTGAAGATAAAGATTAGTGTCAATACTCAAACTTTAGAAGACGTCAGTCAATGAGTGAATACATCACCACTGTGACTGACTCACAGCCATCTAACCAACAGTCCTCAACCACTCATCCCTTTCGTCTCAGGGATCCCAGTCAGACAGTTTACATCTCCCAACACCACTCAAATCATCGACTGGTCTATGCTCTTGATCTGGTCACTGTGATCCCTCTTCCGAACTAATCTAACTTCCACTAGCATTGCACTTTGAGGTGGGTGGTGGTTCAGCATGCGCAATACACGTCCAAGCCACCTCAGTCGACTGAGGTTCACAACCTCATCAATCGAGTAAATTGACTATCTTGCCTAGAACCCGTTGCCTGACCTTAACTTTGTTTATACGGTGATTCCAGAAAACGCAAAGAATGCTACGAAGACATCTGTGATCAAAGCCCTGTAATCGCTTCATTCCTTCTACTTTTAACGGCCATATCTCAAAGCCCTATAACATGACAAGACGGACTTCAACGCTCTTTACTCCGTCCTTTGATAGATAGTCTGATATCTCAACGGTCGATGCCAGAGATGATGCAAGTTGACAAGTGCCAGACAGGCCTTCTGTATCTGAGCTGCGATTTTGTCAGCAACCAGCCTGTTTGGGCTGATGCAACTCCCCAAGTAATTGAAATGGTGGACACATTCCACCCCTTCACCCTGTATCATCAAACTCGGAATGGTTGCAGAGCAGTCCTGGAGCATCCGTCATCTGACATACTTGGATTTCTGTTAGTGTTTCCAAGTTCGATTTAGTTAGTTGAGGTTTAAGGTTTAGTAGTTAGAAATGAAGAAATATCTGTGGTATCGCTGAAAATAAGAATACTTTACCACTTGTTCCATCTGAAGAATAATACAACTAGAGGGTGTTTAAAAATCTTTGTATACCCTGTGAAACTAATTTATAATGTCTGTTTTCCACCTAATGGTCCTTATTGATTATTAATGATTCAGCAGTTTACTGTAGATCCAACTGGAAAATGGCTGGTCATTAGGAGATTATTTTCTGAACAGTCTGATATACTAGGCCTCATAGTCTTCAACTATTGTGACCAGATACCCCTAAAGAGGATGTGCGATGAAACGAAATCCACTCAGCTACCTTGTGCACATGCGTTCAGTAGGCAGTGTGCCATCCCTATTGCATGAGGGCCAGTGATACTGGCTGGTTCCCCAAACCTCAGTAGGTGGAGCGGGGTTTGAACCCGAGATCCACTGGTTGATAATCATCTCCCTAAACCGCTGGGGCATAGCTCCTCTAGAGCATGTAGCCCAATAATAGTAACTGCTGTTTGGTTTCATGTCATTTTACATCTCATTCATCTTATTTTTTTCCGTAACGTGATTCTTTTTTTTATTCCAGTGAGCTATTGGTTAGATGTGTGTCGTGTCAGCAGTTGTGGGTAGCTTAGTGTCAGTGGGTCGAAGGTATTTTTTAAAAGGAGCTGTTCTCAGTTATTGCATACTGTCGTAGACATTTTTCTAGACTTTTTTCTGTTCATTAATTGTTGTCACACCCTCAGCGAAGTAGTTACTGTTATGATGCGGAGTTGTGAGAACGAACGAGAATACTTAACGATTGATAGTCGAGGGTTGGGACGATTTAACCCGAGTGATTCGCAAAGAGAAATCAAAAGACTGGAAATCAGATGAGTTTATAGTCTTTTGGACTGAAAACGTTTATGAGTGAGAACAGACCTTATTTATAGAGTTTACAGTAACCTTGAAAGGCAAGGAATAGTTAGTACATTTAAAGAGGCAGAAGGTAATCAGAACAATAACGGGTCATACGAAATATGACCCATGCGCGGGGAACGAGCGAAATAAACCAGTTCGAATGTATACAACCGGTAAGTATGGAATATAAAGGATATAGGTATCCCTATCATTTACTTGATTGTACAATAATTCAGTCATTAATTCTATCCAGAATGACTTTTGTTTGAGTCTTGGTGATTCATTGAGTTGTTATCTTTTAAGCCACATGTATAAACACATCATCCGTGTATGAGATAAGCACAAAGGAAAGAGTTGTCAATATTTGCTTTTTTTTGTCTACAGTGGATGATTACTTATACATACGGAAATTCAGTCAAGTAAGAAATAACTTATTAGTCAAGGTGGATGTGATGAACCAGTGTCATATAAATAGTCGCATAGGTTGATGCTATTTGCAATATGATGACCGTGCTCGATGAGGTTATTTGATTGTCTATAGTCGTACTGTAGGATAAACTAGGAGGTATATCATTTGGATAGCTGTACTGTCCACTGCTGGTTTTGGCAATAGCTTTGTATTGAAGCATAAAAATACGGCCTTGGCTGGATTGATCTGAATATAAACTGGTGTTAATATAATCGTCTCATAAACAATATGTTCATACATCAACATAGAACCTGGTGTATCTGCGTAACAGAACAGGTCTTCAGAATTCACACAATATTAAATCAGAAAAAATAACTTCATAAGTCGAAAATCTACAAGACGGAGAGAATGCAGAAGAGAAAGAAAAAATCTGTACCCTTATGTAGATACTGTTTGGCATTTCAACTTTATGAGTAAAAACCACTTTACTCGAAGCGGTACAGTTGATATAGTATAGAGTTTTCAACAGATTTACTCCCTGTAAAATATTTTTAAGTCAATAACCAGCCGTTATTAAATTGTCGTCTAGTCTGAAGGAGGAAATGGATAGGAAAGCTTACGTAAGTTTGCTCCTGGTGGTGGTTCAGTTAGCAATTCATAAAATCTGCTATCCAAACCAACTATTTCAGGAGTACAGTATTGTTATGTATCCATAATCCAATTTGAATGCACATCTGAATAATTAAAGCAAGTTGTAAGGTGGCAATTTGATGTAATTTATTAGATGGGGAATGTTTGATAGTTCAAGTTTCAAGCAAACCACCGTAAAATTGATTAACTATTTCAGTTTTAAATTAAAATCATAAACCTCATATAAATGTCATTAATTTTCTTGTCACATTCATTTATCTACAGATCCGTAAACAAATTGTAAATCAAGATGATCAAACTGTAGGTCATCCAACCAAAGATGAACTCAAAGAAAAAGTTGTGAATAAAATCAATAAAAGTCATTCTATGAAACTCTCAGATGATGGTAAATGGGTTGAAATCTGTTCATAAAATAATCTGTATCATTTGTTGTATAGGGAATATTTTTGCTGATTCCAGATATCTTTTACTCTTTATAAATAATAATAATAATAATGGTGTGTATGATAAAGTTTGGAGTTATATAGCCTGCTACTAAGTTTGCAAGCAGTATCTCTTCAGTGTGCAGTTATGTTAATAAAATCACCTTAGGAGCTCATGATTTCCACACTGATGTCATGTAGCATCCATCAACAATTAGGGACTCAGTGTTTCGTAATAGAAGAAAATCGTAGTTGAAATAAGCTGGTGTATATATTTGATTCAGGTAGTTGCCATGATGTTCTACATAACAGGCTTGTCAATGCACACCTCATACACACACACACCTTCACTTGAGTAGTAGGCATCATTCATTTTCTCATTTGGATAGTTCACTGAGAATCGGTTAGGTCCCTTTTATTATAATTATTTGTCCCTTGGGTTCCTATTAAAACATACGGCTTCAGTAGCATATCTCCAATGCGCTGTGTTCTCTGAATTCTTTTGAACCTGGCTACACGACAGCCCAGAAGCTCTCATTTCCTCCTCACACGATCTCCTCCATGTCACCCTCGGACGTCCAACTCGTCGCTTCCCATGGGGATTCCACTCGAGGGCCTGACGCATGATGTCCCCAGTCGGCCTTCCCAGTGTACGCCCAATCCATCTCCACTTCCTTCTGCATAATTGTTGGGTGATAGGTTGTTGGTTGGTTCGTTGCCAGATTTCCTTGTTGCTTATTATTTCTGACCACCTGATCCTCAGTACCGAGTGAGCGTAGGTAGCTATTGATGAATATGTGCAGTTTGTTGGAAATGCTTTTCGTAACGCGCCAAGTCTCTCAACCATACAGGAGCACTGACTTGACTGAATTGGTGTTGAAAATCCGGATGTTGTTCACGCTTTATGCTGAATGCAGAAGATCTTCACACTGGTTTTAGGTTAATGAAGGCCTGTTTTGCTGTCTTTCCAATGCTGGCTTTGATGTCCTCTTCTGTGCCTGTGTTGCCTGTATTTGAAACGTTGCTGCCTAGATAGGTGAAAGAGACAACTTCCCTTAAGTATCTTTCATTGATGGTGATTGGAGTTTGTTGTTGTTGGTTGGGTATTTTCATCATTTCTGTCTCCCCTACGATCACTTGAAGTTCTGTGTTCTCTGCCTCTCCTCTTCTGTCAACTTGTTAGCTTTCACCTGTAGATCTTCAAGTTTGTGCCACAAGTCATTGGCGAAATCCAAGTCTTCTAGATTCTTTTCCTCTGTCAAACAGCGTATCCCCCTTTTCTCGCTCCTCACTGTTTGTTGGATGATCCAGTCGACCACAATAAAGAATATTATGAGTGTTATTAGACAGCCTTGTTTCACTCGTCTTCACTTCAAAAGCATCACTGAGCTGAGCTGTCCATTGTGAATTACTTGGTATGCGGCATCTTCATATAGTTGTTGAATGAGGCTGATAAAGGTTTGTGGCACTAAAACCGTAGTGTTGAAGCAGTTTCCAAATTACCTGTCGGTCGACGCTGTCAAAGGCCTTCTCAAAGTCAATGAAGCTGAGGTGAGGTGTAGAGTTGACTGCCATTCTATACTCTGTTCCATGATGATGCGAAGCGTTGCTATTTGGTCAGCACATGATTTGTACTTCCTGAAGCCAGCCAGCCTTTTCGGGCCGTAGTTTTGAATGCAGTGCATCGTTTAGCCTCTCCAGGATGATGCGGCTTAATATTTTGCTTGCTTTGGGTGGACAGGAGAGTGATTCGGCGTCAGTTCTTGCAAACACTGAGGTCTCCCTTCTTCGGGAGTTTGACAAGGTAACCCTCTTCCAATCAATGGGCAGGTGCCTTCCCTTCCTTCCACACGTTCTGCAATAGTGGTGTGGTGTGAGCATGTGTGCTGTTGTTTCTGCGTGTGTTCTCAGTGCTTGTGGTGGGATTCCATCTGGTCCTGCTGTTTCCCACATTTCAGTAGCTTTATGGCTATCAGGACTTCTACTATTGTTGGAGGATTTATGTTCAGTTGTAGTTCTGTTGCTGGGTTGTGCTGGGCTGGGCTGCAGGTGGTATTTGTGGACGAGGTGCAGGTGGTGGTGGTGGTCGATTCAAGAGCTTCTTGAAGTGGTCAACCCATCGTTTCCTTTGTTTCTCTTCTTTGGTGATTATATTTCCTTCATCATGTTTTATTGGTTCCATCTGCACTGTGTTGATCTCTTCCCTCGGAGACAGCAGGTAACCTGGTTATTTGATAGAATGTTGTCAGGTCTCTGCTACATGCAGCCTGCAGTCTGTTGTGCTTCACTTGCCACTGTGTTGTGGAAGTGTGTTTTGTGTTTGCGTGCACCTTCTTCACTTCTTTGTCCAGTGTAGTGTTTTATACCTTGTACTGAGTTCCTGTTGTCGTTGTGCATCCTTGCACTGGTCTATCTTGTGTTTCACCATCCTCCTCTCCCTCTTGTATCAGGTTCCATGTGTCCGTTGAGATCCATTCCTTATCTTCTTTCTTCTTCCTTCCTAATACTGTTGTGCAGGTTTCTTTCCACATGTCTTTCAAAGAGTGCTCTTCCTGTGTTCATCTACACAGGTTTCTTCATGGATGTTGCTCGATATCTCCCATTTTGTGTTGATGGCTGGCTGCCGTGAAGATTTCCTTTCTAGTTTCGTGCTTCAATTCAGTTTCCGTTCTGGGTGTTGAACTTTAACTGCGGTCTATCACCAGCTTCCTTGACTTGAAGGCTTTTAACTTGATTTTGAAGGTTCTATGGACTAGATAGTGAGATGTGTGAACCTACATCTGCTCTTCTTCTTGACCTTGTGTCGAGTAGACCGCGTCTCCATTTTCTTGAGATTGAGATGAAGTCGATCTGATTTTTAGTGTGTCGTTTTGGTGAATGGTGAAATGCATGTCGCTTTGTGGATATCCTTGTGCTTGAGCACAGTGCCTCGAATCACCAAATGGTTGAATGCACAGAATTCTGCAAACAATTCTCTATTGTCGTTCATCACCTCAGCGAGTGCTTCTTGACCCATGGTTAGTTCTCTTCCTGTGTTGTCTGCTGCCAGTTTGGCATTCATGTCACACCACTCATTATAATGTTGATGTCGCCAACTGGGATGGGGTTTGTTTAGTGTTGATTGCAGTTGTCTGTAGGATTGCTGGTTTTTCTGTTGTTGTGCATTATTTGTAGGTGTGTAGTGTAGCATTGTATGATTGTGACTTTTCTTCTTTTTGAGTTGAATGTTGCTGTCATGATCCTGTGTGAGTAGATTGTTTCCCACTGTATGAGAGAGAGCCTTCGATGGTGTTGGGGACATGATGATAGCCACTGGAAAACTGAGTGTGCTGGTGGTTGTCGTGTGGGTGATAATATCGGAGTAGGTAATTGATTCTTCAGTTGACAGTTTGGAGAGTCCACTTCCATTCCATCTGCTTTTGCAAATTCCAAGCACTTCAATGTGATACCTCTTCATCTCGTTTGCAATGTGGGCAGCCTTGCTAGGTTGAAACATGGTGCGAAGATTCCATGTCGCCAGGTTTACTTTCTGTTTGATGGAGTTGAGAGAATTCACATCGGTCAATTTGCTTGCTGAAGGCTTTCACCAACTGGCGTCATTTCGCCTCTCGGATTCCAGGGAGGAATAATTTTGTTATTATTTTTTATATTTTGTTTGTGCTTTGAAGTTTGTTTGGTGGTTAGATTTGTTTTCTGGGGTAGGTTTGGTAGCTGTATGCCCAATATTCTGTCATTATCCGGGCTTAGGAGTGGCTAGTAACTAGTGAAGTAGCTAACCAGGCGAGGTTATAAGCCCGTCTATGATAAAGTTGAATAGGAATGGAGAGAGTGTGCATCCTTGACGGATATCACTGGGCGTACACAGCTTACCTGACAACTCACCATGGGCTGTAACATGTACACGGGGTTCGAGTAAAGAGCCTTTATCAGTGACGTATTTATTTGGGACGCCCTTCATTGAGTGATAAAAGCGAGAGAGATTGAGAACGCATCCGCGGTAGGTAACACTCGACAACTATTTAGATTTATTAAGGATACCAACAAGAAGAAGACGATGTTTAGCGACACCATCACGGCGATAGATGGAACGCTGACCACTTCCCAGGACAAGCAACTAGAACGTTGAGCAGAGCATTTTGAAGCACGGTCGAACTGACCTTCAACAACGTTTCGATGGTCCAGTTTTCAGCCTGAACCTGAATGAGGTGTAGATGTCGGTCCTCTAACTCTCTTTGAGGTTGAGAATGTTCTGTGGAATTTGAAACGATGGAAACCATTAAGACCTGATGGTTTGCTACCCGAAGTTTTTAAGGATGAAGGTAGGAAGTTGCTAATGAAAGTTGCAGAAGTACTAGGTAGTGTATAGGAATTATGTAATGCCGTCGGACTGGTGTACTTTGCTGGTCATTCCCTATAAAAAGAGAAAGAAATCTTCTTGCAACAACTATGAAGGAATTCGTTTGACTGATGTTGTGTCTAACATCCTAGCGGCCATAGGTATCCGAAGCTTAAGTGGAGCTCGAGAGAACCAGGTAGGTCTCAGGCCTATACGAGGGCGCATCGATAGAATATTCACCTTCAGACAAGTTGTCTCAGTATGGGGCTCAGCAGTACTCACCCGAAAGGAGTCGAGCTTAGGGTCGTGGTGAGCATGTTACCACTTATCCTATGGTCCAAAAATACTCAGTGAAGGCATTGGATGATGATTGCATCATGTACCGTGTTGATGGAAATAAAACAATGTCTAGTTTCATTTGAGGAAAAATAACTACGGGTTTAGGCAAGTGTCAGGCGTTTATTATTGTTGAGATCGGACCAAACTTCCTTGTGAAACGTTGAAATTTCTTATTTCAAACACTGAAATTTGTCCAAATATAATTAAGTGACAATAACTAGTTTACAAAATATGAGAAGGATTCAGTCTTCTTTCGTAATTGCGCAACTAAAACCCATAATTAAATTAACCGTATTACCAGTCATGAGCACCCTTCTGTCCACTGCTGTTGACTTTCACTTGGCAAACAAAAGCTCCTTTTCGAATGATTCATTTCATGGCACTATAATACATCTAGACTGGGGTCAAAAACACTTCGACTGTTTAGCACACTAACATCTTTGTGTAAAGATGTTTTCAATGAGTGTTTGTCAAAATAATTAATATTAAATTGTCCAGAGTCTACAGATGATGTGAATATTTGGCCAGTGAGCCGCCTAGTGATGGAAGGAGATAGCTTTTTTCTTGGATTATCGACAGGGACGAACACAGATGAAGAAATTGTACAAACAGGTTGAAAAGAGCATACTGGTTCCAGCTATCTTCGAATTTGGTTATTCTCATTATGATATGGCAGGTTTAAATGGATTTCATGACTATGGTAGACAGTAGATTCTTATGGTTTAAGGTTTGATATGGGTCATTTAGCCCCACTGGTTGAAGCATTCTCCTGCATGAATACTTGTTTGTTCGATGAGATCATGCATTGGGAATTTGTGGTTCTAATGTACATCTATTCCCAACTTTGTAGAGCTACTATCTTCACTTTTTGATATGGTTTCTAGTGACGAATTCATGTGAGAAGAAATCCTATAAAGTATTGTAGCACTTCTGAATTATCAAAGCCTAAGAATTTCCCTACTAGATGATACGTTATTTCTTACTTAAGACGCTTTTCCAGGCGATGCAACTTAGAGTACTAGAGGAGGATGGGCAGCTTGTTTCCTTTTTTGAGTCAGTGGTTTTCCCAGTTTAAAATGTGACACTGGCCACTTTCTGCGAATTTGACTCTCCTACACAAGTATTCTTCTGCCATAGAGTTTCATATTATGACTGCCCCCTAACTTACCATCTTAGTAAGTTATCTGCTGCTATGGTTCACTGTTACCTTGACGTGGTGGTTCGGCTTGCATATCACAATGACTCAAGGAGTTATGGTGGTACAACGCTTGTTCCCTAGAGGTCCTATTGTACCAGAAAGGTCTGCTAGGTGGTGGTAAGAAGAAAAGCAGTTACTGTTGTTGTGTAAACTACTACACTGTGATGGGAGTCTGAGAGCGAAGTCGTACTTCAGCTAGCTGGAGGAGGTGTGACAAACGTTTGAGAGTTCTCCAAATGACACTGATCGGTTGTTATTTCAAACATTATGTGCAAGTAAACGGTAATGTATTCATGAAACGTAAAGGTAGTATGAAAGTGTTATGGATCTAAATGTATGGATGTTTAAATACTCAGCATGAAAACAGGATTTTCCAGTTCTATAAACGCTGATAAGAGATATCATTATACACTGAAGGATATTTATGCCGGAATGATACAATTAACACTAAGACCCGCTGTGCAGGAAAAGGTGTCATCATTTCCCAAACTTGCTGGTATGACCAGAAGTTGTCACTAATGTTACCAGAAGATCAAACAAACGCTGTACTTACATTCGTAAGGTATCATATAAAAAGTTGTCATAAAGTCTGGTATTATTATTTTATTATTAGTCCATTGGGTTCCTGATGGAACATAGGGCTTCAGTAGCACGTCTCCAGTGAACTCTGTTCTCTGAAATCTTTTGAACCTGGCTACACGACAGCCCACAACCTCTCATTTCCTCCTCACACGATCTCCTCCATGTCACCCTCGGACGTCCAACGCATCGCTTCCCATGGCGATTCCACTCGAGCGACTGGCCTGACGCTTGATGTCCCCAGTCGGTCTTCTCAGTGTATGCCCAATACAATACATCTCCACTTCCTTCTGCATATTTGTTGGGTGAAATGTTGTTGGTTGTTTCGATGCCAGATTTCCTTGTTGCTTATTATTTCTGGCCATCTGAGCTTCAGTAACGAGTGAGCGTAAGCAGTTGTTGGTGAATGTCTGTAGTTTGTTGGAAATGCCTTCCGTGACTCGCCAAGTCTCTGAACCATACAGAAGCACTGACTTGACTGAATTGGTGTTGAAAATTCTGATGTTGTTCACGCTTTATGCTGAATGCAGAAGATCTCCACACTGGTTTCAGACTAATGAAGGCCTGTTTTGCTGTCTATCCAATCCTGTCTTTGATGTCCTCTTCTGTGCCTGTGTTGCCTGTAGTTGAAACAGTGCTTCCTAGATAGGTGTAGGAGGTTACTTCCTTTAAGTTTCTCCCCTTGATGGTGATTGGAGTTTTTTGTTGTTGGTTGGGTATCTTCATCACCTCTGTCTTCTCTATATTCACTTGAAGTCACGTCTTCGCTGCCTCTTGTGTCAACTTGTTAGTTTTCTCCTGTAGATCTTCAAGTTTGTGTGACATCAGGCACAAGTCATCGGCGAAATCCAGAAAGTCTTGTATATTTCTTCTGAAACGGCATCGAATTCATATTCATTTACTTTAGTTATTGTTAGCTCCTCTTCTAAATGACCAGAAGTAATACTTACCAGATACTCCCAATGGAAAATTCGCAAATTGAACAGTGAGAAAGCTTTACAGTTGCATAGGAATACCAAATATGTTATTCATCGATAGGTAAACTCATTTTACCGAGACAATTTGCGTGATCGGCGTAAAAGATATTGCTTTCCGTCTCATATTACACGCAGCCCCATGTTATCCGCAGTCAAATGGTCTGGCATAACTGTTAATGCGAATATTGAAGAGTGCTAGTACTTCTATGAATCCCAGGAATTTCGAAAAATTTGGGGATTGTGTCAATAATTTCCTACTTTATTATGGAAATTCAGAAGATACACCCATTGATGAAAATCTTTCTAAGCTTCTGAAATCCGGAATACTTCAGAAACATTTTATATCTATGGTTTTCTTGCATGTTCTCAAGCATCGAAGTGATTATTGACCGTGAGTGGTTATTATACTTCAAGATATTTACAATGAAATGGCCAAGATAAAGCGCATAGAAGGCTGCTATGTTCATAGCACAACCATTGGTCAGATGAAAATTAATCGTGATCGTTCTGTGGTTAACGCTCTTTATAAAAGTGGATATCAGTAGTGTACAGCGGGAAACTCTTGAAGGGATAATGATCGACTAGCTTAGATTTACGAGAGAAGAGGATGCAACATGAAGTAGAAATACAGAGGACAAGGAAAATGCACACTGGAGTCTTAGATAAGGAGAATGTTTGCAGATGTGACTCGCATCACAGTGTAGTAGTTTACACAACAACAGTAACTGCTTTTCTTCTTACCACCACCTAGCAGACCTTTCTGGTACAATAGGACCTCTAGGGAACAAGCGTTGTACCACCATAACTCCTTGAGTCATTGTGATATGCAAGCCGAACCACCACGTCAAGGTAACAGTGAACCATAGCAGCAGATAACTTACTAAGATGGTAAGTTAGGGGGCAGTCATAATATGAAACTCTATGGCAGAAGAATACTTGTGTAGGAGAGTCAAATTCGCAGAAAGTGGCCAGTGTCACATTTTAAACTGGGAAAACCACTGACTCAAAAAAGGAAACAAGCTGCTCATCCTACTAATCCATGCCCAGTAATCCTGAAACTATTCGATCACTTTATGATGGGAATAAATGCGAATAGTTTTGTAAAAGGAGTGCTATTATCAGAGTGCGTGCCTGATTTAACGGTCAAGTTTTCAAGTCTCCTTTTTCTTAGTCAGGAAGTTTCCTATTCAGTATTTCAAACTACTTGTAGGAGTAAGACAAGGTTGCCACCTACTACCATCGATCATCTTCCTGATTGTCGTCGACTAAACTAGACTGGGTCATGCAACAAACTGTGACGAGCGATAAAAGGGACATACGCTGTTTGAGCGATAAATACATCCTAGATCTGCCAGTGATGATGATTTATGTCTTATGTCTCACAAACTCGAAGATCTACAGGCAAAAACCAACAAGTTGACAGAAGAGGTAGTGAGGGAACGTAGAGAAGATAGAGGTGATGAAGATATCCAACCAACAACAATAACAAGCACCAATCAACATCAACGGGAGAAATCTAAAGGAAGTAGTGTCTTTTACCTACATAGGAAAGACAGCATCGTTTGAAATACACGCGGCGGCACAGATGACGATGTCAAAGCCAGGATCGAAAAGACAGCAAGATAGGCCTTTCTTGACTAATCTGAAGTCAGTGTGGAGATCTACTACACTCAACTCAGCATAAAGACTGAACGGGATCCAGATTCTAAACACTAATCTCAGTCAAGTGAGTCAGTGCTTCTGTGTGATGGTTCAGAGACTCGGCCCAACACGAAAAGCATTTCCAACAAACTACAGACATTCATCAACAGCTGCCGTCTACGCTCACTCACTCGATAGTGAAGATCAGATAGATGGCCAGAATAATAAGAATAAACAACAAGGAAATTTGGCAACGAAGCAAGAATCTATCGTCTAGCAAACATGCAGAAGAAAGTGGAGATGGATTGGGCATACACTGAGAATGCCGATTGGGGAAATCACGCGCCACGCCAGGCACTAGAGTGGAAGTCAAATGGGAAACGACGAGTTGGGTGTATGAGTGGAGGATGACATGGAGGAGATGATGTGTGAGGAGGAAATGAAAGTTTGTGGGCAGTTGTGGAGCCAAGTTAAGAAGACTTCAGAGAAGAGAGTGAAGTGCCAACGTGCTACTGAAGCCATATGTTTTAATAGGAACGCAAGGGACAAATAATTATAATAATCGGTAACTACTTGTAAGTAGTTAAAGTTGTAGACCCAAAATAAGCGGCATTTGAGAAACAACCCGTACCATTGAAAAATAAGATAATGAAATGAGAAAAAGTAGTTGTTATGATTAAAAAAAGTGGTTATAATGATAATTATTGCGATTGTGATCATAGGAAAATAGTGTTTGTCATCATGTTCAAAAAGGTTAGGTAGCTGCTTAGTGAAGATTTTGTTCACAAGGACTTCTTTTTGATTGAATTGCTTTCAAGTCTGATAATTTCAAAGTTTGCATAGGAAGGATATAAATAATTCCATGTTTTAATGTTTAACAAAGAATAGAATATTGAAAATGAAAATCTTGATAACTGCTAACCTAAACCATCTGGAAAAAAAATACATGAAGGTTATTTGAATGAAATTTAATAATATTTGTATATAGTCATGTATATGTTTGTGCATAGTTTCTATCTAATAGTTATCTTCATATGAACACTTTTATATTTCATCGACAACATGTATTCTTTCTTGTAATTTCTTCCTTTTTCAAATTGTGAAGTGTATGAAGTTCATAAACTTCTTTTTCTTTAAGTTTTCTTAATTTTTGAAAATAGAATAAAGAAAGAGAATTTATTCAGATATTCATTCGTAGAAAAGTATTCTTATAAATGTTTAAGAATATAGAGAGATTTTTGTAAACTAAATGGTACCTTTGTAACAATTATACTCGTCATTAGACAAGGTTATGAAGTAGACTCAACGATTGTCTAGGTGATAATGCATAACCCTTAGAAGTATCCTTGAGTGATGAAGATACCCAGCGAACAACAGCATCGACAACAAACACCATCAACAGTAACGAGTTAAAGGAAGTAGTCTCTTTCACCTTCCTAGACAAGGCAGCATCATTTCAAATACAAGCGGTGGCACAGTTGAGGATGTCAAAACCAGGATCGGAAATACAGCAAGACAGGCCTTCATTAATCTGAAATCAGTATGGAGATCTACTGCATTCGTCATAAAGAACAAGATCCGGATCTTCAATACCAATGTCGTCAGCGCTGCTATATGGTTCAGAAACGTGGCGCGTCACGAAAAGCATTTCCAACAAACTATAGACATTCATCAACAGTTGCCGTCTACGCTTACTCACTCGATACTGAACATCAAATAGATGGCCAGAATAAACAATAAGGAACTCTGGCTGGCTGGCAACGAAATAACCTATCACCCAACAAATATGCAGAAGAAAGTGAAGATGGATTGGGCTGACTGGGGACATCACACGCCACGCCAGGCACTAGAGTGGAATCCAAAGGAGAAACGACGAGTTGGGCGTATGAGTGGAGGATGACATGGAGGAGATGGTATGTGAAGAAGAAATGAAAGCTTACGGGCAGTTGTGGAGCCAGGTTGAAAAGACTGCAGAAAAGAGAGTGCAATAGAGGCGTGCTACTGATGTCCATGTTCCACTAGGAACCCAAGGGGAAAATAATGATAAATAATATATCTAATCAGTTGGTTGAAAATACTTTTGAAATTGTTCGTAAAATGAACTTTTTTTTTTAAATACCTGGAATTTGGATAGTCTTTATGCTACTCCATTTTTATACTAATAAATTTCCGTTGAAGACAACTTGACCAAAAAACCAGTTGTGTATCTCTGTCCATCTGATACTAACAAAATACACATCGTTGGACATCAACATTACTATTGCATACGTCGAATAAAGGCACTCTTAGATAAGTTATAAACATGCCTGGCTTAGGAAACTAGGTTTTATGTAACATACTGTCTAGTGTTAGCTATTGTGAGTCAATCAGCAGGAAATCTGGCTTAATCTAACTTTCGTGCTTGTCGACGCTCATCAGCAAAGCTGCCGAGGCACATCTGCTGACGGGAGCTCAAGTTTTTGCCAACGATCACCTAAGTGATATACTGGTTAATTCTGTAAATTTATTAGTTTCTAAGTGGTTGCAGATGCACATCAATAAACAGTATCATGATCGAATCATCGCAGAAACAGCCTTCAGGCACCTAAAATTGGTGAAAATACACTGTATTTGCGTGCTCTGTGGTACAACTCAGCCTCTACTTTTACTATTTATTAATCCTTGAATTTTACCAATTCTTCTTTATTGTTCCCTTTTGATGTTTCCTGGTCTACTGAAAAACGACTATGTTATTTTGCCTAGGGTTTTGAAAGGCGTCAGTAGGATGAGTGGTTTGCCTTTGGCTCAACTGATTAACACTATAGTTGGCAGACACTTAAATTCTAGCAGACAACCTAATTCAGTAATTTTAACTGCCACTCAGCATCCACTTCATTCACATCTCTCTCCTGGCAAGTATATTATGCGAAGAAAAAAGTGTTCGAACAGAACTCACCAGATTTGCAACAATAAGTAGTCTATTTCCAATATTTTAATTGCCAATGTAAACTTTTCTCAATATATTTTTCCTTTATATTATTTAGATTTTTATAATAACACCATTTGCAATGTCGTATATATATATATATATATATATATATATATATATATATATATATATATATATATTGTTTGGAATAAAGTGAGTATTATCATTGTTATTTCCTAGTTTGGTTCCTATATTAAAGGCTTGACTGCTAAAATTTCATCAATACTACGTTTGTATTACTTAGGCGAGAAATCAGTTAACCTCTTATGCAAATATACTTTGAATTTCTGCAAGACAATTCAATCATAGCAACTATGAAGTAGCTCAGTTTATAATTATTCTGTTGACAGTGTTTTACATTACGATCGGTGATAAATTTCGGGCTTATATCATAAATGTATCATGAGAAGTCACAGTATAAAAATGAGTCTCACCTTGCCAATACTGTGAATGCCTCTTCAATATTTTCCCCAGTTTTCGCACTGACTTCAAAACACATCGTCTTATATGCCTATGGTACATAAAAAAAAACATAACTGTAAGTATTATAAATTATGAATAGACAAACAGAAAGAGTGATATAAAGCGAAGTGAGGTTAAGACCTAGTGATTAACTTTGCCTCGTAGCTCAACCGGCAGAACACTTCACCAGTAATCCGAAGGTCACTGGTTCCATTTCAGATCCAATCATCATCTTGTGTAGACATTAGAATATGTAGAATTTCTTTACGGGCAGTCTGTAAGAACATTGAATTTCTGATGTCCATACATCTGTATTCTAAGAAACTGTAGTTAGTCAATCACCATATACAGTTAATATATTATCAAATACTAACATGTTTCAAAAAGATAGACAAGAGAACTATATTGTTTTCAACTAGATGTCATCAGGCTTTATTCTAATGTACACAGCCTTTCGTATTTTTTGTATAAAATATAAACCGATTAATGATGCCAACAGTGTGGGTTATGCAAGTTTAGAATAATAAGAATGCTTGTAGCATAAGTGATGATAAATATGTTGAACATTAACATGACAATATAAACAATTTAAGTGGTGATATTAAATATAAACGAGGTTTAGGTAGGCGTTGATTCAACTGGATAAACCGCATCTGGACCGATGATACGAAGGAGGAAGAAACCAACTTACTGACGACAATACTGATACATAATGGCTACCCATTGAAATTTATAGACAAGTGGAAAAGTTGTATTTTATTGAAAAGTATTCAGTGTTCCGCTGCTAAAAAAAATATCTACATCTCATTATCACTTAGAAGTGATTCACACAGCTTTACTGTAAGAAAAACAGGGCTTAGATCAGGTATCTGTAAAACATATTATGCAGCCATGGTCATGCTTGTCGAGAAGACAAAGTCCATGTCACAACACAAACGATTGCATCATATCTCACTGTGTTTATCAATTTACATGTATGTGTGTACGAACATGGATTGGGAGTAGTAATCGTGATATTCAGTTGAGGATAATTGAACATGTACCTACGTGGCTTCAGAAACAAATGACTTCAACAGATCCGATAAGTGCAGATGACAAACGTCCGTCTTCATCTGCTGGTAAACACATACTAGAAACGACTCATATAGTGGACATGAAAACAGCTTTTAAAGTATTAGATAAAAGTGGTCAGGGTTGAGGGCTTAAATCTATTGAAACTCTTGTCATCTGTAAATTCAAACCACCTTTATGTATATAGAAATAATTTGTACTCACAATGAACCTACTTCTGTAGTATTGATTTTAATTTTCATACCAAGTGTGTTGTAATTAAGATTTTTTTTTCTCTGCCCTTCCTATGTTTCCTGTTGACTTTATTGACCCTTTTCGTAAATTTTCATATAAATAGTTCGACAAGATCAAGTGTGTTTAGATTATTCGAAATGTATAGCACTAATACCATCACACATGTTTCAGATAGTCTTCGTCTTCTTATTACGTTGGTTAGGTATATTTTGTATTTGTGTAAGTCACAGCGAGTTTGAAATCAAACAGTTCCAATGTTTCGTATGGGAGACTAGTCCCAGCTTCTTCAGACAAATAATCCAAATTAAAAGGTCAAGGACATATATAAATGAATCGAAAAAACGTGTAATTAGTCTCCTTGTCCAATCCTCTTCGTATAGTCATTGTCTTTTTAAAATATGATTACTAATCCTTCAGTGTGAGATTGTACGTCTCTTGATGTGTGTGTGTGTGTGTGTGTGTATGTATGTATGTGTTACCATTCATATTCTCCTTGATTGTGAATATCAGACAAAAAAGGGTCACAAGTAGCATGATAGTCACGGGGTAATTTTATAAGTACAATGGAACAAATCTGTTTTCAACAAATCGGCATTCACGCTGCACTCTACAGAACTGGGCCACAAAATTGAGTTTGACGGGACCAAGGTTCTCCAAAAAAATTTTGGGTCATACCAAGAAAGATTGACAGCTGAAGTCCTACATATAGTGCGAATGGAGACAATCTCAACAGACGAGATGGAGTACAGTTAGCTGTCTTTTAGGCATTACTAACTAGTAAGCACAAAGAGTGACTGCAACATTTGCTGTCAACACCAGTCTCAATTTCATCATCTCTGCACCACCATCAACACAACATGGGTTGACTTGATCCGTCATTATCATTATTACTATCACTCATTTTCACTCTATTCTGGCAAATTAATGAAAAATTCACCAATACTACTCAGCTTCATATTATTATCTTTTCCTTTGACTTCCTAGTGGAACATAGGACTTCAGCAGCACGCCTCCACTGCACTCTCTTCTCTGTAGTCTTTTGGGCCTGACACCACCACTGGCCACAATCTTTCATTTCTTTTTCACATGATCTCCATGTCACCCTCGGCCCAGACGCCAGCTCGTGGTTTCCCATTTGGCTTCCACTCGAGGGCCTTGCGCATGATGTCCCCAGTCGGCCTTCTCAATGTATGCCCAATCCAATCCATCACTTCCTTCCATTGCGTATTTGTTGAGTGATAGGTTGTTGGTTGGTTCTTTGCCAGCCAGCCAGCTGTCCAGAGTTCCTCCTTGCTTATTCTTATTATTCTGGCCATCTGATCTGATCTTCAGTATCGAGTGAGTGAGCGTAGACGGCAGCTGTTGATGAATGTCTATAGTTTGTTGGAAATGCTTTTCGTGACACGCCAAGTCTCTGAATGATATAGAAGCACTGACTTGACTGAGTTGGTGTTGAAAATCCGGATCTCGTTCTTTGTGTTGAGTTGAGTCCAGTAGATCTCCACACAGGTTAATGAAGGCCTGTCTTGCTGTATTTCCGATCCTAGTTTTGACATCCTCATCTGTACCGCCACCTGTAGTTGAAACAATGCTGCCTGCCTAGATAGGTGAAAGAGACTACTTCCTTTACGTTTCTCCAGTTGATAGTGATTAGTGTTTGTTGTTGATGCTGTTGTTCGTTGGATATCTTCACCACCGTCTTCTCTACGTTCACTTTAAGTCTCATCTTCGCTGCTTCTCTTGTCAACTTGTTAGTTTCCTCCTGTAGATCTTCGAGTTTGTGCGACGTTAGGTATAAATCGTCGGCGAAATCCAAATCTTCTAGGGTATTTTCATCAGTCCAACGTATGCTCCTCTTCTCACTCCTCACGGTTTGTTTCATATAACAATTAAAATGACACACATATCCGTCTGTTGTATTCCATTGTACTTATAAAATTACTCCGTGATTATCATGCTACTTGTGACCCTTTTTTGTCTGATATTCACAATCAAGGATAATATGAATGGTAACACATACATATACACACACACACATCAGGAGACGTACAATCTCACACTGAAGGATTAGTAATCATATTTTAAAAAGACAATGACTATACGAAGAGGATTGGACAAGGAGACTAATTACACGTTTTTTCGATTCATTTATATATGTCCTTGACCTTTTAATTTGGATTATTTGTCTGAAGAAGCTGGGACTAGTCTTCTATACGAAACATTGGAACTATTTGATTTCAAACTCGCTGTGACTTACACAAATGCAAAATATATCTAATGTCAACGCCTAATATCTGCCATAGTATTCGGTCAAATCATACTTCATATAAGTTAAGTAGCAACTGAAGAAACGGCATTATGGTTGTATAATACTATAGAAGGAAGTTAATGAATGAATACATTTTGAGAAATTGAAATGACAGGCGTATGAAGAAGGTAATCAAAATCAAAATAATATAGAATAGTTCAGCCAACGTCTTATAGCCGATTACGTATCTGCATATCTTTGAAGTACATCAGTTAACTGTTATGCCATGACGTAACAAATGTATGGTTCTATAACCCTTTTTGAGTGTTTGCTACGCTGCATAATATCTTCCTTGTAGCCACACAGAGAAGCCGATAATTCCTGAATAAATTCGGACCTGTTTAAAAATTTCCAGACAGTCACATGATTATGCTTAAAAACAATGGTTACAGGATGCCTTGGTAACAAACAACCCCATTGAATCCCTTGTTTAAAGTTGACTCAACATTAAACTTTCTGTCATTTTCTCGCTTTTTATTTCATAGAAAGGTTGAGCAATAAGGCTGTTGAAATTATGCAGATGTTCGATGTAATATTTATCACTATCAAAGCATAGCAATAATCTAGTATTAATATTGGTACTATTATTATTATTTGTCCCCTGGGTTCCTAATGGAACATAGGGCTTCAGTAGCACGTCTCCAATGCTCTCTGTTCTCTGAAATCTTTTGAACCTGGCTTCACGACAGCCCAGAAGCTCTCATCTCCTCCACGTCACTCTCGGACGTCCAACTCGTCGCTTCCCATGGGGATTCCACTCGAGCGATTGGCCTGACGCTTGATGTCCCCAGTCGACCTTCTCAATGTATGCCCAATACAATACATCTCCACTCCCTTCCACTACATATTTGTTGAGTGATAGGTTGTTGGTTGGTTCGTTGTCAGGCCAGAGTTCCTTGTTGCTTATTCTTTCTGGCCATCTGATCTTCAGTAACGAGTGAGCGTATGCAGTTGTTGGTGAATGTCTGTAGTTTGTTGGAAATGCCTTTCGTGACGCGCCAAGTCTCTGAACCATACAGAAGCACTGACTTGACTGAATTGGTGTTGAAAATCCGGATGTTGTTCATGCTTTATGCTGAGTGCAGAAGATCTTCACACTGGTTTTAGGTTAATGAACGCCTGTCTTGTTGTCTTTCTGATCCTGACTTTGACATCCTCTTCTGTGCCTGTGTCGCCTGTAGTTGAAACAGTGCTTCCTAGATAGGTGAAAGAGGCTACTTCCCTTAGGTTTCTCCCATTGATGGTGATTGGAGTTTGTTGTTGTTGTTGGTTGGGTATCTTCATCACCTCTATCTTCTCTATATTCACTTGAAATTCCGTCTTCTCTGCCTCTTCTGTCAACTTGTTAGTTTTCGCCTTTAGATCTTCAAGTTTATGTGACATCAGACACAAGTCATCGGCGAAATACAGTAATATTGGTAATTACATCATTTTATGTGAAGTTTATGAGTCAACAGTTGTTTATTCAACTTCAGGGCTATGGGTTAGTGCTTACTCAACGCCTGGGCTCAATCTTTTACGGCGTTGTGGGTTCATACTACTGAGGAGTCCCAAGCCAAGATGAAACAACTGTCCAGTACTCCTAAGTTTTCAGTTCCTCGTCAAGTGATGTCAGTCTTCGATAAGAATTGTATTTGGCAAAATAAAATGCAAAACAACAATATAGAATAACTTGCCTGAACAATTTTGTCAACTGCAGCTTTTGGTACACAACGTTTTGAATCATTTTGTTTAAGGAGATCAGATTTATTCTCCAAAATTAAAATCACTGTATTTTCATCCGTTTCCTCAGTGACAGATTGAAGCCATGATCGAACAGCTAAAAAGCTTGCTTCATTAGTTGCATCAAAAACAATGATTACACCATCTGATTTACGATAATATTGGCGGGTAATACTTCGAAATCTAGAAAAATAATTAAAGTGAATTAGTGGACACTAAACAGTTGTCATTCTCATCTTGAGCTTCATTTCTTCTCTACTATCTCAATGCTTAAACTCAAAGTAGTAGAGAATATTTTTGAGATAAAGAGCTCTTCATACTGTGACTATATGTGACCAAGAAAAGGAGGATAACATATTAACCTGGGTATATTCCAGAGAGTTACTGTATTTGTTATCAGGTTGACTGTTTAAGATAGATATGGTTTGGCAGACAGACTGATGATTGAATATGAAATAAAAATTTGAGCCGCGGCAATGTTTAATTTAGCGACCTCCTGGTCATCGGCCCAGGGTTCTGTCAACAGAGCTACGGTACCCAAATGTCGACTAGATCTTACTTTCACTTCAATCGCTATGGGTTCTGCTTGATGAGTTACTGTCCAGTCATCGTATTCACATTGGCTGCCCAGGTAGGTCCTCACATCATATCAATGTTTTTTTATTATCAGTCCCTTGGGTCCCTAGTGGAACATAGGAATTCAGTAACGCGTTGCCATTTCACTCTCTTCTCTACAGTCTTTTCAACCTGGCTCCATCACTGCCCACAAACTTTCATTTCTTCCTCACACATCATCTCCTCCATATCATTCTCCACTCATACGCCCAACTCGTGGTTTCCCCTTTGGATCCCACTCGAGGGCCTGGCGTGGCCCGTGATGTCGCCAAACCGTCTTCTCAGTGTATGTCCAACCCATCTTCACTTCCTTCTGCATATTTATCGAACGATGGGTTGTTGGTTGGTTGGTTGGTTGCCAGCCAGCCAGCTATCCAGAGTTCCTTGTTGCTTGTTCTTATTATTCTGGCCATCTATCTGATCTTCACTATCGAGTGAGTGAGCGTAGACGGCAGCTGTTGATGAATGTCTGTAGTTTGTTGGAAATGCTTTTCGTGTTGGGCCGAGTCTCTGAACCATCACACAGAAGCACTGACTCACTTGACTGAGATAAGTGTTTAGAATCTGGATCCCGTTCAGTCTTTATGCTGAGTTGAGTGCAGTGGAGTGCAGTAGATCTCCACACTGATTTCAGGTTAATGTAGGGCTGTCTTGCTGTGATTCCGATCCTGGCTTTGACATCATCTGTGCCACCGCTTGTATTTCAAATGATGCTGCTTTGTCTAGGAAGGTGAAAGAGACTACTTCGTTTCATATAATGACTTAGACTAACTTTTGGCGGTTACACACGGGATCAAAAAAATGAAAGGTTAACGTATATTCACAACTTGGAGAAGATCAATGAGTGATACATGCACGGTAATAAAGTCGTGTTGGTGTAGATCTTCTGGAGAATAAAACGATAAGCTTTCTCATTTATGGTTTTAAATAGCCGATTTCCCCAACAACTGTTGAATGCCGTTATCTGGAAAAGATATTGATTGCACAGTAGGGATCTGTAATCCAAAAAAACTCGTTTAATTCACTGTTAATAGAGAACATCAGTCCGATGTTTTCTTGTGATTTGTTTCTAGATGTAATTCCCGAAGTTATATGAGTTGTTATCTAAGAGGTCATTTGGGTTGAGAATGAGAAGTGGATACTCTTCGGTAACATTGGATGATGGCAGTGCTACATTACAAGTTGGCAGAAGTTGGAAAACATGGACCTTAATATTTTCTGACCTGGCAGCTGACTGATAATATGCTCGTCGTCATTGCTAACTCTCCTAGGTTCACAACCACGTTCATTCATAGGGGCGTAATGTTTATGAGTCCGGAAACAGGACGACACAACTATTCAGTGCATCCAGAATTGCAGCAGTTATGTGGCTGATGTCGAAGCATGATCGAAACCCTTTGATTCATTCTTATTCATTGTATGCCAAGTAGTGGAAACTCCATTGAACTGGTTGTTTTAAGTATTGTTTAGCAGTCAATCTTATGGGCTTCCGTTTCATTCTTTAATTATTGTTCTACCGATCATTATATTCAGCAGCAGCAAGCACCCATTATGCCATCCGGAGTCGAACCCAGGACCTTCAGCTTTCATGGCGAACATGTTACCCTTGTGCCACTGCATAGGAATCAGTAGGACTACAATTTTCCACTTGTGTGAATTCGCGATATAGAGCGACATCCAACCAATATTATTGTTCAGTGTTTGTCCTCAGGTCCCTGGTGGGGTCACGGCTACGCGCTCCTCAGGAGTCCTATGCTAAGACGAAAGAGCTGTTCAGTGCTCCCAAGCTTTCAGTGGTTTTTTAACTGATGTGTATCCATGTTGTGTACCAACTGATTCCTGACTGTGTCGTAATCACCCTATTCACATGTCTAAACTTTTGAGTTGAAAGGTGAAAAAGGAAGTTAGATAATTCGTCTTGTTTCTTGCTCATATAGTCGGTCATTATAGTGGGAATCTTAAGCAAAGAAGCGATTTCCACGAAGTCACGAAACGTCAGAAATTCATCTTTCTACCTCACTGGGATTTTACAAATATGTTTTCATGTAAAATACATTTATCAAATGCTCAACTTATTCAACGCAGGCAGGTCATATTTAATCATAAAGTCTATGAAACTAAAGCGATAAGTTGTAATTTTCTCGGCAGTGACTGCAGGGTTGGATGCAGGAGGTGTGTTCGGTCCTGTTAGGGAGGGAGGTTTGAGTCCGAATGGGAACATCTTTAACCACTAGTATGCACGCATATCCTACTGATGAGTCCCAAACAGAACAAAAAACTTGATGTGAACTCCACTACTAGTCACTGTCAACTCAATAACATCATAATCAGCCTTCAGGCAATATCAAGGCACATGCATAACAGCCTTTATGTCAACAGAGACCGATCAATTTGATCTAGTATAACAATGGTGAATTACAAGCACCAATAAAATTAAGCAGAGCGTAAAATACCTATTTGATTTCTTGTTCCTTTCATCCTACTGGTTTTGTGCATGACCTGTCGAAGCCAGAAGCTGGTTTTCAATCAAAGTAAAACTATAAAACGAATCATTTTATAATGGAATGTAAAAGGCTGACATGACGTCGTGGGTCGACAAACCGTTGTCAACACTGAAATATATGATAATGAATCCATCCATCCGTCCAGATCAACCTAGGATCAGGTATTACCGGGTAACGATCCGAGTTACCACACCTCATATCACTACATCAAGTAAAAAGGTAGTGAGGTGGAAGATGAAGATAAGAAAATTCAGTCGAAAGAAATATTAAGTACGAAAAGACAAAAAGGAAGAGTGAGAAAATGGTGAGATTCGGTATAGCGTCGTTAAGATGAGAATAATGTGTGTGTGTATATATATATACATCTGCACCACTGACATCGGTTGCGAGCCATATCATCACCTAGAGTCAGTCTGCAACCACTGCTTCCTCTTGTCCCGAGGACCCCAACCACCTAGTCTGCATCACCCCACATGGCTGAAACCAACAGTCAAAGACTTCATACATTGGTGGCATGTTTCAGTGTGGCCACCTTGTGCCTTTTTCCAGCCCGAACCTACTTCAGCCAACATTGTGTGACGAGGCAATCGGCGACTAGGCATATGTAATATGTGTGCCAACCATCTCAGTCGATGAAGGTTAATAGCCTCGTCAACTGATTTACCTCTACTCTCTAGAACTCTACAAGTGTGTAGACGTCTGTGTTACTCACCTGGTGACACGATGGAATACGGCGTATACTGCGAAGACAGGCAACAGTGGTGAAATACGTGAAGCCAGCCTTTTTGATGCCTTTCACGTTCAGTGAAGATGTTTCACAGTCATAGAATAGAACAGAGTGGACTGGTGTGGAGTACACGTGACCGTTGATAGACAATTGGATATCATGGGGGTACCATAGGGGGTGTAAGTTGGCGAAGGCCAGTATAGCTTTTTGTATCCGTACAGAGATTTCTCCGGCCACTGAGACACCAGAGCAGGACTGACTCCACTTCGCTTCCCAGGTAAGTGAAATGGTTGACACACTCAATCACTACATTTTCTATTGTTAGCCGTGGGACGGTTGGAGACGAATCCTGAAGCAACAATTTGCATTCAGTGGTGGTGGTGGTGGTTGTGGTGAGAAACGGATCCCAAACATTCTCAAATTGCCACTCGAAGTGTTGAGAAGACTCTGTATCTTGTCGGCGTCTTCACCTAACAGGACTGTGTCATCATGTCATCTGCATATTCTAGGTCTAACGAAAATTCTCCACCGATTAGGCCAGCGTCTGTGTAATCAGGCGACGAGTGGGAGACCTCTATAAGAATATCTATGATAAAATTGAATAAGAATGTAGAGAGTGGGTACCGTTGACGGCCAGCACTTGATGAGCATAGCTCCCTGGACATCTCACCACAGGCTGTAACACGTCCACAAGTGTTTGAGTAGAGAGCGTTTAATTCTGTGATGTACTTACTCGGCACGCCTTTCAGTGAGAGAGGTTTCCATAAGACTTCTGGATCAATGGAGTCGAATGCCTCCTTCAGGTCGAGAAATACAGCCAGTGTCGGGTGCCGATAAGCGTGTCTGTGTTCCCATACCTGGCGCAGTGTGAATACTTGGTAGATACATCCGTAGCCAGATCTAAATACCTCCAGCCTTATTCTGAAAGTTCATCTTCATCAACGCAAATTAACTTTGATCATTAGCGTGCTAAGAATTTTAGTAAAGTTTGCAAAATCCTAACATCAATGTGAATAACAAGTTGAATACAGTCCATATCAGGAAGTGACATCAGTTAGGAAATTATCGCAAACCAAATAACTGTTTCTTCCCGGTTAAGGACTGACTTTCGCAATAAAAAACTACGATGCTACACTCTACCGAATCTATGCCCTTCATAATTTGTGACGCATAAGTTGTTACAGAAACTGATAAGTCAAAAAAAATTCTCTTAAACAATGCTCAGTTGAGGAATGTGAATATTTCTTATCCATTGTATAATCACATTGACTTGTGCAAACAATTTTCATACCTGAATGTGAAGAAAGAATATTCCATTGTCAATAACTTCTTCATCAGCTTCTACAGTTATATATCCATCCTGTTTATTTACAGAATAAATCTAGGTAAATAACTGAGATTTTTTATCATGTCGGTGATGTTATACGGTCTAGGAAATATCTTTAGAAAAGTTTATTTGATTTATAACGGTATTATTTATACAGTATTATTTACTTGATGACCTTCTAACCATAAATTATCATTACTCATAATCATATCAATGTAATCACACTACTTTCAACATCTGATTTTTATAGTCCTGTCACCTCATATTATTTGTTTTGGTTGGTAGTAAAGTTTCGCATATCTCTGATATACGTGTTACGTCATTTCTACTACATGTATTGCGTGTACATTCGATGAACAAAGATTCTATAATCAGTATTTTCTCTTTCCACCTAATTATATTCGAGTGGTTTTGTTAATGGAAGCTTGGCAATCTCCAAGTGTTTTTCTAGATTTATACTGGGTGATGACTGAAGGTGAGATAAAAATACGGACTGGAACCAGCGACCGCCGGGTTATCGGCCCGGTGCTCTACCAGCTGAGTTACAAGGTCCACCTATTATTATTATTATTAGTCCCTTGGGTTCCTAGTGGAACATAGGGCTTCAGTAGCACGCCTCCAGTGACCTCTGTTCTCTGAGATCTTTTGAACCTGGTTGCACGACAGCCCACAGCCTCTCATTTCCTCCTCGCATGACCTCCTCCATGTCACCTTCGGACGTCCAACTCGTCGCTTCCCATGGGGATTCCACTCGAGGGCCTGACGCGTGATGTCCTCAGTCGGCCTTCTCAGTGCATGGCCAATCCATCTCCACTTCTTCCTGCATATTTGTTGCGTGATAGGTTCTTGGTTGGTTCGTTCCCAGAGTTCCTTGTTGCTTATTTTTTCTGGCCATCACAAGGTCCACCTGCTGACTGGAATTTTATTTCACTTCAATCACCAAGGGTTTTGCCCGACTACCATGTGGATTCATGACGCGTTACTACCGCTTGATCGTATTCACACTGGCTGTCTAGTCAGGACTTCTCATCCCAATCCAAGTCGAACTGAATCAGAGAGGGGAGCATCATATTGATTATGATTTGTCTATCTATGATGGCCGTAGTTCTCTAGATTGTTGATGTGTCTGTCGTTCTATATTTAGCTAAATTCCTATGCTCTGCTATTCTTATTGACTCCGACCGGCTAGTTTGACCTATGTACTTGACCTCACAGTCATTACATGGAATTTCATGCCTTAGATTATTTTGCTGAATTGGTTCTATCGCATCCTTGAGTTGACAAAGCATATATCTGAGTAAGTTTTTAGATGTAAATGCCACCCTAATTCCGGTTTTGTTCAAGATCCTACGTAAAGTTTCTTATGTTCCTTCCTTATATCGTAACATATGTTGTCGTTATTATTCATACTCGTGTTTCTGTTATTATTTAGTTTTTTGTGTGTTTGTACAAATTTCTTAATAAACTACGAAGGATAATTATTAACTATTAGCGATTCCTTTATGTGCTTCAGTTCCTTGTTTAAATCTCTTCACTGACTAGTTACTTTTCTAGCTCTACCATTTAGACACTTGACTAAACCCGTCTTAACTGATATTGGATGAGATGACTTGAAGTTTACATACCTGCTGCAGTGTATCCGAATTTTGTAGATGTAGCATCCAAACCGCCATCTGACCACCTTTTCACTCTGCAATCCAACATAGGTAGTTCTCCTTATTCATTTTCTATGGTGTAAGTAAATTGGATTGCACCTACTGTAAAACTGTCGATATATTCCGATTTCAACACAGTGTATGTGTCATTCACATATGGCCACCATATCTTAGGTGGAGGATTAAACATTTGTAAAGCCATGTTTTTCCAACTATCCATAAATATATATGCTGCGATTGGGGATATTAGCGATCTCATTGTTACTCCTTCTATTTGTCTGTATATATTGTCCTGAGACTTGAAAACTGTGGAGGTTAGGCACAACTGTACGCCTATGATCTCATCAACCGATATCTTAGTTCTGAATCAATATTTAGTCGATTTTTAACTGTTTCCAGTGCCATATTGATTGGTATTTTAGTATAAAGACTTGTTACATTGAGGCTAACCATTTTTTTCATCCTCTTCTATGTGTAAGTCAGTAAGCTTTAGTTTTAACTCGTAGGAGTTTACTGGTATGGAATTTGAACTGTTTCTAACAGGACACATTATTGTTGCTAAGTACTGTGTTAGTTCATATTTTGGGGTATTTCTGAAGTCAACTATGGGTCTAATGGGATAACCTGGTTTATGAACCTTAACAGTGTCATAAATCCTGCTAGGATTATTAATTTTGGGCATTAAATTAAGACATTTAGACTCACCTAGAGATTACCTGTGACCAGCGAAACTAAGTGATTTCACACTATTGTGCACTTTATCTGATGATAAATGTTTAGAAGGAGTCGAATTCTTTAGTTGGAACATTAAACCATTTCGATCTTCATTAGAAAAGAGCATCTGTAACCTGTCAATAGGACTAATGTCTCTTGAGGCAGGCACAAAGTGAAGAAATGGTAAATTAACAAGGAAGCTGACATAATAATGTATCACTCAGAGTGTACATACTACTTAAGAGATATTCAGTACAACAGAAATGTACCAAAGGCGGGATAGTATGGTTGAGAATCAAGAATATGGACATTTTGTTATAAGAATTATCGAAACAATGAAGAACAACGGATAGGTGATATCGTGCTCCATTCTGAGACGAACAACTAGTCCAGTCACTAAGTAATCCAAACTGTTTGGTATTACTGACGTAATTCCTACAGTTATCGGATAAGCAGGTTTCTGAAAAACTTTATTTTGACTACCCTATGACTTTTCCCATCTTGCATGTTACATGAAATTAGTAGACACTTCTGTCAGATGGTAGTATTTCAGCTGGTGACTTGTGAGGACTGATTGGTTCCAAAGGTGCACCCATAACCAAGTGAGAGGTCAGTTATCTTGCGTTACCGATCAATGAAGTTTGAGTGTGGTCAAATTCTACAAAGAAGTGACCGAAGTTGAAAAACTTGAGACACCCAGAATTTGTGTTTGATCATAACTGAGACTTAAGCAGCTTTATGTTACTTTCTTATAATCTAATTAACCTCTATAAACTTTGAACAATATAACGTAGCTTATCAGAATTTGTCTGGTTTCGCTAATTGTACGTTAGACATGCCTTCGTATGTCCAGTAGTGCAGATATCTAGTTCAAGGTTATTTGTCTGCTAATTCTAAATTTTGAGTAATTCACACAAAGTGCATCTCATGATGTACCAATAGGAAACGATTTTCGGCTTATTACTAGTTTAGCTACACTCCCGTTCTTATACATTATCTCAATATTCATCATCAAGATACAGAGTAGGATACTAAAAAATATTAGAGAAGGGCACAGCGAAACTTTAGTCTTCATTATAAGTAGAAAAAATCTATATATTTAGCAGGTTTATCAATTATTTCCCTTCTATCATCAGGCATAAAAGCATAAGACAAAGAATGGAACTTCATAAATGTATCTATTTTAGGCAACTAATGAGTCAGCTACTGATTGGGCTAGTAGAGGAGAAAAGAGTGAAAGAAGCTTAATCACCCATGTTCCACTTGTTCGCATAGGGGAAACGAAACAAAGCAACGATAAAGTAGCAAGGAGAAGATAATTGTGTGTAAGAAGGAGAGAGAGAAAGAGAAAACAAGGAGACATGCACGTACACACATACACACACACCATATATCACATAAAAAAATTGATAGTGACTTACTTCTCCTGCCCAGCTGTATCCCATAGCTGTAGGTATAAATTTGTTCCATCACAATGCATAAATTTTACATGAAAATCAATTGCCACAGTTAGTGGAAGATTTAAGTCGAATACACCCGAGACAAATTTCCGTATAATACTAGATTTACCAACACCGGAATCACCGACAAATATCACTTTGTAGACACGTTCAACAAATGATCCATTCTGTGTATTAGAAACAATCAAAGAGAAAATTAAACAATAATGCAGAGTGTTGGAATCTTCAACTGAATTGGTGCATATCTAGTCAAGTGAAAAACGCTTAATGAAAGGCATAAAATAAGCTGAATTTGGTGGTTTATGGGGATTTAGAGATTTTTCACGTTGGTATTCATCATGAACTGACATCAGTTGGAGAAACACTGGAAACCTGGAAGCACTGAACAGCTGTTTCTTCCTAGTACGGGACTCTTCAGCAGTGCGCGCCTACGACCCCGCCCCTACCAGGAATCGAACCGGAGACCTATGGGCTCTGTGGCCAGCATGTTATCGATAAGCCAGCCGGTTGGAATCCAGTCGTCTATATTTCCAACTTCTGTCAGTTCATGACATAGTGAGACCGCCACCCAGTATGATCTTTGAGTATTTGTCCTCACAACCACCAAGTTTAGCGCACTGGTCACGACTTCTCATTGGGACTTCTGGAGTCATCTGGTGGCTGTGAGGACAAATACTCAGCGATCACATTGGGTGGCGGTCGCGCTATGTCGTGAACTGACAGAAGTTGGAAATATAGACGATTGGATTCTGACCCAGTGGCTCAGGGGTAACGTGCTGGCCTTGGAATTTGAACGTCTCGGGTTCTATCCTCGGTGGGGTGGGGTCGTGGGTGCGCGCTGCTAAAGAGTGGCGTACTAGGATGAAACAGCTGTCCAGTGTTCCTCCAACTGATGTCAGTCTATGATGAATACCAACTTGAATAGAATAAACTTCCTATTCACGAAATTTTCCAGTATTATTGTCTGGTTTATACATTGAGGTTGACCAAATGAAAGATGAGTCACCCAATCATGTGATTATTAATAAAACAGTAAAAATGGATGTAAAAATTTCTTCTAAATATATAGGTCCCGTTTTCTTGCCTTGATATCTATGGCTTCAGCTAGGAATAAGATTCGTAGTCATACACCTTTAGAAAGATTGAACGGGACATGTTGTATCACAGAAAAGTATCATCTACCTTGATCTGATGTCCGGTATCTGCTAAATGCGATAAGACTGCCCTGTTGATGCTCTTTGTCATTCATTTCACTAACCAAGCTGGTGCATGTTCATGAGCGTGTGTGGATAGAGCCCTTTGAGTACGGCCTATATATAATTAGCTCCACAGGAGCAGTTGAATTTATAAATGCGCATTGAAGTGGCCGTCATTGGTAACCTACCGTTGGTTCCTTGTGTCATTAATGGTTTGATTGAAAAACTTGGAAAAAGTTTCGCTGCATTGAATATCTTTCCAACTGATCTACTTGATCTATGTGTTAAAATATCCGAGGCGTTATCACCGTTGAAAGTTAGTCTAAGATAATATAGGCTTCTGAGCAACATTGTCTTCCTTTATCTCCTCTCTAGGTTTCAAAGTGTGTTTATTCATGCAGTTTAGCCGATACCCATTTTACTAGAGTGCTATCTTCATCTTATTCATTTCTTCTTCAGTACAGTCATCAAAAATATGCTTCTTAATCTGTAACTCAGGCATTCAACCAGGTTTCTTTTATATTGAACTGGTCTAAAGCTATGAAAGTGAACATATTGACCACTCCACGTGTTCTTTCAAAAAAATATTTCCTTGAATATATCCATCCGTTTTCCTGGTGAAGAGGACATCTAGGAAAAGAATACTATTTCCTTGTTCTTCTCTTAACACTGTGTGTTTCAACATAGTAATAACTATACATCAAGCTTTATTTCGGCTTATGTATTTCACTTATTCTCATGGATTTATAACTATGCAGCCTGAAGACGAAGTTACTGAAAATAATTGTTCGCTCAAATTATGCTTGTTCTGAATAATCTATAGGGATCTTTAAATTATTAAAAGTAGTAAAGCTTGAGCACTGTGATATTTAAGAAAAATAAAAAGGAATAACATTTTACCACAGTGATTTTATTCTACTCTTATACTAATGAAACATGGTCTTCATACCTGGAGACTAGTCAAAAAGCTTACACAACTTTCACAGACACAAGTCAGTTTCATAAACCATGGCATATTGAATATTTAATGTCTTAAAAACCAAATTACTCCAAAATATCTACATTCATGTACGATAATTTCAACAGACAAGGTGAAAGTAGGAATACAAGGTATCAGTAAACTCTGTCTAAAAGAAGAAATTCATTGAACCCAAAGTTATATTGAAGAACTAAAGTGTAAACTGATACAAACGGTTAGTGGAAAAGATTATTAACTCTTGAGCGGCAAATTCAACAAACCGAAATCAACTGCCTCTAGAAAATCTAAGAATACTCAGATGAAAATGTTCAACAAGCTAATGGAAGAAAAGTATACAGTAGAGAAGAATGAGATTTTAAGTTACACATCCCCACTCATTGATAAAACAAAACGGTGTTGTTAATCTTTGAACTACCGTTTTAACCTCAGCAGAATTAAAGGTGCTGAAGAAATGAATTAGTTTCAGTGTAGCAGTTAATTAATTGAAATGTGAAACTGTTATTCCAAAAGTTGAAAAAGTACTAAATTCAGTAGATAAGGCAGTGACAGATGAGGTGAGAGCACAATACATGTAAGCCAGTCACACAGGAGGTCAATCGCGGCCCGAATAGCTCTGGAAAGTCTCTGACTACAACACTGGGTGATGCGGCTTCGAGTCTCAGGCGGGACATCAGTTCCATCGAGGTTGCAGATGCGCCTTGCTGACGAGTGCCAAAAAGCACGAAACCTAGGTCAAGCAGGGCTTCCTGCCGATTGCCTCCAACCAACTTACAGAGCACAATACTCTCTAACACTTAAGCGACAGAAGAAAACAAAACAGAGTTTTCATTTTCACTATCTGAGACAACCGGGAAACTAGTATTTATACTGGATGGTTGAATGTGAAATGAAGATTTGGCCCGCAGTTGGATTTGAATCAGCGACCACTGGATTTCCTGCCCGATGCTTCAACAACTGAGCTGTCATGTGCAGCCTCGGTTCAAATTTTCATTTCACTTTCAATCATCACCCAGTATAAAGAGATAGAACTTACCAAAAGCAGAAACCTAGTAAATAATATTGTTCCACTGTGTGATACATCTGAAAAATCAACTTAAGTAGAAAGTGGTTATTATTATTATTGTTAATTTTTATGATTTCTGTGTTTACAAGTGTAAAGGTGGTTATTAAGCGTAATACTATGGAATTTGACCACTTTTTTTTTACTGAATACCTTTGTGATTATGAGTAGAAGAAGAAGATGAAGAAATGGAATTGGTTTCTCTAACCAGTATGATCTCATCTACTTGATAGTGTCACATCCATTAAAACTAATCAGTAATCCTCCTTACCGACATTATGATAACTGAAAAATGCCATAGATTATTGTACTTTCCAAATATCAAGTACATTAGAGGTAAAGCTGATTTAGATTAGAGGTTTGCTCACAATTAGTCCACGTGATGAAGTTGAATAACGCTAAGAGAACAATATTTAAAGAATGAGATGATATCACTTTACTTCGCAAGATTTGTACTGGATGCGAACAGTTGCAGATACAGCTTACTGGCAAGTGCCAACAAGCTTGAAACTTAGATTCAGGACTTCCTGCTGACTGCCTCCAACCAACTGACATCTACCAATGTGCATGGCGATGCTGAGCCTCCTAGCTTGGTGGCCACATTGCAAATATGATCGATAGAATTCGGTCCGTACTCACGATTAGACAGTATGAAATTGGTTGCTGTTCCATGACCAGTTAATGTAAGTGTATGATCAGTTAATGAATGCAAACATCCATGTAAGATTTGTGATATTAAGTCAAACACTGAACAGACAGGTGGCGGTAATGTAATCTTTGTTACATGTTGGAAGCTGTGCCATGATTGTGTTTCATCCTTGTTGGCGCGTGTGCAATATCGACGGAACTGATGTCCCTCCATACATTCAAACACATATCACCCAATGCTGAAGTCAGAGAGGTTAAAACGGAGATATTTAGACTGCGATTACTTTCCTAAAGTCGTGGATCAGGTACTTTGATTGGTCCTGAATACTGATTACATTCTGTCAATCATTCTCCAGCTATCTAACATCAGTCAAAATGTAACACGGTGGCGAGTCTCTCAGCTTCATGACTATGTTGCGAAATAACTTGTTTGATGGCTACGACTTTAGTAAACCGTAGCATGTTTGAAGTCTCCTATTTGTTGACGACTTAAAAAAGACTTCTGCTTCCTGTGTCTATCATATGCCGGTTTATTCCGTTTTCTAAACTTATATAAACAGACATTTATTATATTGTGCTTCATTCAACCTCATCAATGTTTGAACTAACATGTATATTCGCATTTACATGTTGATAACACATTGACTTTGTTTGTGAGTGGCTGATGAGGGTCCTACAAGACAAAACAAGTCACTAACTTCTGTAAGTGGTGTTCCAATTGAATCATTCAACGTAGAAAGCCAAATCGTTCTAATCACTTCAATTATTGATATCGATCACTTAGGGGCGAACTGGTAGGTAGCAGACATAGAATTCAGGTGAAAATTTTGAAGGGTTTATAGTTAACGATGAGAATGTGAGGAAGACTGATAAAGATCAGTTACTGGATTCAATCGCAATTTCTTGTGTAAACCGAAATATTCACCTAAAAAAAATTGTGTTTGATTTTTCTGAATACTACTCATAGCGTCGAAAATGTCAACAGCAGGTAAATGGTTATTCGCCATTCGCTGTGATTGAATACAACTTCTTGGAAACTTTGAACGTTTGTTCATGAATCAACTGAATGCAAACGTTAGTGAACCAGTTTCTGTTAAAAAGTAAACGAAAATAGTGTTTACATCATGGAATAATGGTTGCTTATGTGCTGTGAACCACTTATACACTCGACTTTAATACTCACAGTAGTGGAATCAACAGTTGAAGTCATATACGCTGCCCCTCTGGTGAAACTCTTTTCTCACTAAAAGCAAACACAACAAGAAAAAAAACAAAAAGTAGAAATGATGAACATATGAGAAAGATTCCTACCAATTGTTGTATGATGTTGACCAAATATTTCTAAGAAGTGTAATTTCATTATTGGCAACCAGCAGTGAAATCTACAACACTCGTTTCCTCCTATCTGACACTCATGAGTTGGATATACCTTCATCCTAATTAGTAATGGTGGACCAGATGAGAACTTGAAGTCAACACCCATCGATTCAAATCACAGAGTATTGCCCACTAGGAGATTCACACTTTGTACAGAGGGAATCAGTTACTTTTATCGATACTTTCATTTCGGTGGTTGTTATGTTTAAGTGTCCTGAATTCCACTGCTATCTACTAACAATTGACTTAATCATAATTAATCTTGAGGTATTGTCCAGGCATCTGCGCCGGAGCCTTGTACCTTGAGAAATCATTCAGCTCAGTCCAACATACCAATCACTGGTTAAGTTCGAGGATTTATCAATGACGTATTAAGACGTTATTAGTATTTTATACAACTACATTACTGACAGTGTCCAGATTGACTTGTTCTCTTAGTCATTTTCGGTTGACAAACATTTCAGTGATAGAATAGTAATAATAATGATGATGATAATAATAATAATAATCGTAATAATTCACTTTATTTCAAACAATTTGTGGTGCAATTTGGAATTCTCAGCATGATACATTATAACAGCAACAATATATATGAATGTATATACTCCCTTACAACATTTCAAATTGTCTTTTCAAGACTGTCTATACAAAATTATTATTGTTAGTTGTCAGCAGTAGAATTTTCAACAGTCGCTTTTTCTTATTCGGAACTGGTCAGCTAAGTCTCCATACATTCCCATTGTCTTGGTGTTCTAACTTAGACCTCAAGCCAGAACGCGCCTATTCAAACACCAAGGGAATTATCTATTGGGCTGAAGATTAACAACTAATCAAGATATTCGACTGAAGTTAAGAATTATAGGAGATGAGTAGGACGTCACTAAAAACTGTGAAGCAAAGAGCTGAAGGTTACAGAACCTTAACAAAAGCATTTTTATTCGGATCTTCAGAAAAAAATTCTTCATGATTATTTTTTGTGTCATCTACTTTTAAAAAGAATGACAGGTTAAAGGCGATATAAGAGAATACTTCACAAACTAAGTGAATAGATGCAAAAAAATGAATAATAATGTAGAGTCATAACCGCACCATTTTCTATATTTATCCATGAGGAGGAGAAACAGTGGCGTGATCAAGAGAGAGAGAGAGAGAGAGGTATCGACTGTAGAGTGTTTAAATCACAACAATTTCTGCGGATTGATCTACAAACGGAGACTGATGAAATCGCTATTTGACAGGGTGAAATTGATTCCATAGTGAAAAAGCGAAGGATTATTTAGAGCTTGGTTTCAGTCCTCTAGCCTTCAAGGAAGACGATGTGTAAGGGAAAATGAATGCGAAATTTGAATCCAGTGCATACTTTAGTCTATCCAAGATGATGCGGCTTAATATTTTGCTTGCTTTGGGTGGACAGGAGAGTGATTCGGCGTCAGTTCTTGCAAACACTGAGGTCTCCCTTCTTCGGGCGTTTGACAAGGTAACCCTCCTTCCAATCAATGGGCAGGTGCCTTCCCTTCCTTCCACACGTTCTGCAATAGTGGTGTGGTGTGAGCATGTGTGCTGTTGTTTCTGCGTGTGTTCTCAGTGCTTGTGGTGGGATTCCATCTGGTCCTGCTGCTTTCCCACATTTCAGTAGCTTTATGGCTATCAGGACTTCTACTTTTGTTGGAGGATTTATGTTCAGTTGTAGTTCTGTGGCTGGGTTGTGCTGGGCTGAGCTGGGCTGGGCTGCAGGTGGTATTTGTGGACGAAGTGCAGGTGGTGGTGTGGTGGTGGTGGTGGTCGATTCAAGAGCTTTTTGAAGTGGTCAACCCATCGTTTCCTTTGTTTCTCTTCTTTGGAGATTATATTTCCTTCATCATGTTTTATTGGTTTCATGTGCACTGTGTTGGTCTCTTCCCTCGGAGACAGCAGGTAACCTGGTTATTTGATAGAATGTTGTCAGGTCTCTGCTACATGCAGCCTGCAGCCTGTTGTGCTTCACTTGCCACTGTGTCGAAGAAGTGTGTTTTGTGTTTGCGTGCACTCTTCTTCACATTTTTGTGCAGTGTAGTGTTTTATACATTGTACTGAGTTCCTGTTGTCGTTGTGCATCCTTGCACTGGTTTATCTTGTGTTTCACCATCCTCCTCTCCCTCTTGTATCAGGTTCCATGTGTCTGTCGAGATGCATTCCTTATCTTCTTTCTTCTTCCTTCCTAATACTGTTGTGCAGGTTTCTTTCCACATGTCTTTCAAAGAGTGCTCTTCCAATGTTCTTCCACACAGGTTTCTTTGGGGATGTTGCTCGATATCCCCATTTTGTGTTGATGGCTGGCTGACGTGAAGATTTCCTTTGTAGTTTTGTCCTTGAATTGAGTTTCCGTTCTGGGTGTTGAACTTGAACTGTGGTCTATCACCAGCTTCCTTGACTTGAAGGCTTTTAACTTGATTTTGAAGGTTCTATGGACTAGATAGTGAGATGTGTGAACCTACATCTGCTCTTCTTCTTGACCTTGTGTCGAGTAGACCGCGTCTCCATTTTCTTGAGATTGAGATGAAGTCGATCTGATTTTTAGTGTGTCGTTTTGGTGAATGGTGAAATGCATGTCGCTTTGTGGATATCCTTGTGCTTGAGCACAGTGCCTCGAATCACCAAATGGTTGAATGCGCAGAATTCTGCAAACAATTCTCCATTGTCGTTCATCACCTCAGTGAGTGCTTCTCGACCCATGGTTAGTTCTCTTCCTGTGTTGTCTGCTGCCAGTTTGGCATTCATGTCACACCACTCATTATAATTTTGATGTCGCCAACTGGGATGGGGTCTTGTTTAGTGTTGATTGCAGTTGTCTGTCGGATTGCTGGTTTTTCTGTTGTTGTGCATTATTTGTAGGTGTGTAGTGTAGCATTGTATGATTGTGACCTTCCTTCGTTTTGAGTTGAATGTTGCTGTCATGATCCTGCATGAGTAGATTGTTTCTCACTGTATGAGAGAGAGTCTTCGATGGTGTTGGGGACATCATGATAGCCACTGGAAAACTGAGTGTGCTGGTGGTTGTCGTGTGGGTGATAATATCGGAGTAGATTATTGATTCTCCAGTTGACAGTTTGGAGAGTCCACTCCCATTCCATCTGCTTTTGCAAATTCCAAGCACTTCAATGTGATACCTCTTCATCTCGTTTGCAATGTGGGCAGCGTTGCTAGGTTGAAACATGGTGCGGAGATTCCATGTCCTCATGTTTACTTTCTGTTTGATGGAGTTGAGAGAAGACACATCGTCCAATAGGCTTGCTGAAGGCTTTCACCAACTGGCGTCATTTCGCCTCTCGGATTCCAGGGAGGAATACTTTTGTTATTATTTTTTATATTTTGTTTGTGCTTTGAAGTTTGTTTAGCGATTTGATTGGTTTTCTGGGGTAGGTTTGCTAGCCGTATGCCCAACCTTCCCTCTTTATGGGGGCTTAGGAATGGTTAGTATCTAGTGAACTAGCTAAGCAGGTGAGGTTACGGGTAACAATATGTTGACATAATATGATGACCCATTCATTGTGTTTTTGATCTTCTCGCAATCGTATTGTCTTCCACCTCTTGACATATCATAAACAGAGTTAGTTGGTCAACATTTGAAAAGAGCTTTGAATTGAAGTGAGCTCATTACATCGTGCACGTTTGCTTCTTTGTACATTGACGTTAAGAATAATCACTTTCATGAACCAATTGGCAAATATCTAACCATTTTGCATGTTATCTATTTGGTCACAACAACTTATTCAGTTTTGTTTTGTGAACACAAATTCCATTCCCACAAATGCTAACTCAATAACAATAATGTCTCCTAATTACACCTGTCCAAAAGATAAAATGTTGCTTTAAAAAAGTAGACCTGATAATTTCAAGGACAAATGCCTCATCACTGTTAAGACTCAAGTCAATGTCAAGGATAGTGGTCCAAAACGTTTATGTTAATATTTTAAGTAGATAATTCTATAAACATGTATTCTATAATTGAGAGCATTCACAAATGGAGATTCTACCACTAGCTCCTATAAATAGCATCATATCGATCCTTTATTGATCTTTATCAGTGCGTACAAACTCGCCGCGTTCATAGATCATAATCTCATAAGACCGATAATTACTTACTGTTCTCCTCCTCCACCAGTGGCCAGACGAAGGCATAGTACAAGTGTACGAAGTCTCTCACTACTGGTGTGAGCCGTTTATGGAGATGTCAGTTGCCCAGAGAATAGAAATCAGTAACTAGAGGCCCTTGATGACGTAGCTTAATATCAATCACAGTGGTACAGATTTACACACCGTTTATCACCTTTGAAGTCTTCACTGTTTTCATGAGACTTCATCTATTTTTTCATTTCTTCTTATACATTGCTGTCTATTTCAATCTCATTTGTTTTCCACCCACCTTTTTTCTGCATGCCGCTATGAAGTTTCTTAACTTGAAATCAGGCACTTTAGTGCCAGGTTCCAAGTTTACATTTCTTTCTACCACTTTCTGTATTCCTTTTTAATATGAAAGCTATGTGTCATTCCATCTATTTGACGCTAATCTATCTAAAGCATCTCACTGGAAGGGAGAGATCATCCTTGAATTAACTGGGACTTTCGTGTAATTTGCTTGGTTATGGCTAACAGTGAAATCTAGGATACGCATTTTGTCCTCCTTCAAACTCATGAGATGGATGTAACTTCACTTGAGTGAGGCGTGGTGTTCCCACTGAGACTCGAATCTAGCACTTGCCTTTTCAAACACCAAAGCGTTATCTGTTAGGCTACCCAGCCATGACAGCCATTGGTTATTGACTAGCACCAGTTGTCTCCTGTCGATTGTTATACTGTACTAAAATAGTCGACCACCGTACCAATCATGACAAAAATTAAGATTTTGTTGATAACTACAAAAGAAATCTTTCCTTTATTAAAGAATTGCATGATTCTTGTCGTTTTGTTGCACCGAAATTCAAGCGATAATAATGATAATAATAATGGTAATATATTTTGAGGTTAATGAACATTTTGATTTTAAAGTAGTATGCATCAGACACTGACATCAACGGGAGAACCACCCGAAACCTCAGAGCATTGGATGTCTGTTTCTCCGTAATGGAACTCCTCAGCAGTACGCACTCATAACCATGCTGGGACCAAACTCAAGACCATCGAATTTTACGGCGGATGTGGTAACCATTCAGCTTCTGGGTCGGGGTTCCCTTCCCTTTGAATGGTTGACTCCACAGGTCACGGCTTCTCACTCGAACTTGAGGATATCCATCTCGAAGCTGTCCGATGCTCCCAGGTTTTCAATGGTTCTTCAAATGATGTCAGTTCGTGATAAATACTACCTTAAAATAGTAATAGTAATAAAAATAATGTTTGATAAACTCACTATGGCGTGAAGCATACTTCAGCTGATTCATTTGCAAATGATCGTGGTTTCTGGGATAACTTTCTACCATGTGAAGTATACACACCACCAGGATCTGTAAGTAAGGCATTCATTAGTCACTTAAAATGAAAAGAAAAAAAACGAGAGAAGAAAAGAAAAAGCTACAGTCTACATACATTGTTGGAAAACATCTTCATATTCTTCTGCTTCATCGATATCTTCAAGATCGCCTTCATGAGTATTTCCATCATTAAATCTGAAGTAATATACACATTAAATTGAGTTATGCATACTAAAAAAGCAACAATAAACGACGAACGTTGTCTTGTAAATTTCACTTATACATCCATCCAATGTAATTTTTATCACTTCTGTGTGTCTCACAATATCCAAGTTAGTAACTCGTTTTACTACTTATTGATATACTTGTAATTCTCCCTTGTTTCATTGGATCGAGTTGTTGGACCTTTATTGGCATATAGGCTCCTATGTGGATGTCTTGAAATTGCCTGAATGTCAATTATGATAATTTAGTTGGTCGACAAGTTGTTTAACTAGTCCAAGATAGGATGAAACCTGCATCCTGGATTCCTCTGCTAGCAACAACCAACTAAATTACCATTAATAACTCGTTTCACTGAAAATTAGCCGTTAAGCTCGTGTGTTAATGATTGGAGCGAGTTACCCTGCTCCTTCCTCACAAGGAATACTACCTACAGTGATGATATATAACTTGACATCGAAACATCTGGTAGTCGACACTTTGGCTGAAGCAGCAGCGCATTATGATTAGTTATATGTCACCGCCACGAGCACTTCATGTTCAAGCAATGGGTTGAAACATGGAAATAGATTTTTTTGACATAAGAATGGCTGAATTATTCTATCACTAAACGTTTAGATTGTACTTCCTCTTTTTTCAGTGATTATTCATAGACTGTATAAATAAATAGTCGCATTTGTTCATAAGTCAATGAATGTTTCTCTGTCGAAAAAGCAATCAACCTGATAAACTGGAGTTTAGTGAAGACTGAGTGAATGTTAAGCAAATAAACGAGGTTACTATACACATCTGTCGTTGAAACAAACCTTTTATCAGTGATTTACTAGTTAGTTGGATTATATACTGAACAAATTTTACAATCAGTCGATATCTTATTGTCCTCATATAAAATCAAACTCTTTGGAAGTACTTTTAATCACATATCGACAACAACAAGAGAAGAACTGAAAAATCTGGTAGTACTAGACATCTATTTCAAACTCATTAACATTATGTAGCCAGGATCTCACCAGAGAGTGAGTTCAAGAATATTGGGGCTCACGATGATTACTCGACCATCGACCAATTTCATCTCTGAGCATCCATCTCACTCCCAACTTACTTGACATGACAAGTCATGAGTTCTCAGTAGAATTTAGAGAAATCCACCTTATAACAACTCACTCATAAGAATTGCATAGTGTTTCAATTGTTGTCATAATAAACTACTTTGAGGTAGATTCTTCAAGGTTCTGATGAGATGTGACCTGTGAGGTCAACTGAAGGCCAGTCGAGATAAATTAGGCGTAGAGTTTTAAGTAAAAAGCGTAAGTTGATGAGGTTCTTAACTTTCATTGACTTAGGTAGTTGGAGCACGCTAGCTGAAGTATGTTTAGGCTCGAAAAAGGTTAAACTCAGCCAGACGAAAACATGGCATCAGTCTATAAATTTTCTGTCTGTTGATCATAGTCATGCAGTAGAATGTAAGTTCCATGATTTGGGTTCACACAAAAACCAAAATCGGCTACTGAAAACACAAGAATCAATGGCAGTGGCACAGATGTGTTCACACACTGCCTTTATCTTATTGATTAGATCGAATTTCTTTGCTATTTTGCCTTATCAGTCACTACAACTTTCCAATACTTTTGACTACTTTCTTCTCCGTTTCTCTATCTCTCATTATAGTGCCTTAAATCTTAACATGTTAATGTGAGGTTAATTTAGGAGTATAACTAGGACACTGTGGTAGATTGTAATTCCATTTTAGTCTGTTTGTTAGAAATGTCACATGGTGAAACAGTATCCTTTACTGGATACACTCTATATTACTCATCGGTTTCGTGAACTGGCTTGCATCATGAAAATACAGTAGGTAGGCGTCATGCATCACCAGTTCACTGTACACATATTCCAATAATACCTTGGAGGTAATATCACACGTGCATGGTTGGAAACTGTTATGGTAACAAATAACGTTGCTATGCTATGATAACATTATTAAAAGACAAAGATTATCTAAACAATGTGATGTGTATTTGCGTAAAAAATTCTGAATAATCTGATCACAGATTTTTCGCTGACTGATACCTGTATTTCCCGACCTGAAGGCGGCATTCGACTCCATTGATCCAGAAGTCTTATGAAACCTCTCTCACTGAAAGGCGTGCCGAGTAAGTACATCACAGAATTAAACGCTCTCTACTCAAACACTTGTGGACGTGTTACAGCCTATGGTGAGATGTCCAGGGAGCTATGCTCATCAAGTGCTGGCCGTCAACGGTACCCACTCTCTACATTCTTATTCAATTTTATCATAGATATTCTTATAGAGGTCTCCCACTCGTCGCCTGATTACACAGACGCTGGCCTAATCGGTGGAGAATTTTCGTTAGACCTAGAATATGCAGATGACATGATGACACAGTCCTGTTAGGTGAAGACGCCGACAAGATACAGAGTCTTCTCAACACTTCGAGTGGCAATTTGAGAATGTTTGGGATCCGTTTCTCACCATAACCACCACCACCACCACTGAATGCAAATTGTTGCTTCAGGATTCGTCTCCAACCGTCCCACGGCTAACAATAGACAATGTAGTGATTGAGTGTGTCAACCATTTCACTTACCTGGGAAGCGAAGTGGAGTCAGTCCTGCTCTGGTGTCTCAGTGGCCGGAGAAATCTCTGTACGGATACAAAAAGCTATACTGGCCTTCGCCAACTTACTCCACCTGTGTTCCCCCGTGATATCCGATTGTCTATCAACGGTCACGTGTACTCCACACCAGTCCGCTCTCTTCTACTCTATGTCTGTGAAACATCTCCACTGAACGTGAAAGGCATCAAAAAGGCTGGCTTCACGTATTTCACCACTGTTGCCTGTCTTCGCAGTATACGCCGTATTCCGTGGTGTCACCAACTGAGTAACACAGACGTCTACACACTTGTAGAGTTCTAGAGAGTAGAGGTAAATCAGTTGACGAGGCTATTAACCTTCATCGACTGAGATGGTTGGCACACATATTACATATGCCTAGTCGCCGATTGCCTCGTCACACAATGTTGGCTGAAGTAGGTTCAGGCTGGAAAAAGGCACAAGGTGGCCACACTGAAACATGCCACCAATGTATGAAGTCTTTGACTGTTGGTTTCAGCCATGTGGGGTGATGCAGACTAGGTGGTTGGGGTCCTCGGGACAAGAGGAAGCAGTGGTTGCAGACTGACTCTAGGTGATGATATGGCTCGCAACCGATGTCAGTGGTGTAGATGTATACACACACACACACACATTATCCTCATCTTAACGACGCTATACCGAATCTCACCATTTTCTCACTCTTCCTTTTTGTCTTTTCGTACTTAATATTTCTTTCGACTGAATTTTCTTATCTTCATCTTCCACCTCACTACCTTTTTACTTGATGTAGTGATATGAGGTGTGGTAACTCGGATCGTTACCCAGTAATGCCTGGTTCTATGTTGATACTGATGATGATCACACACTTACCTATCAAGTCAATTTATGGATGAAAATGAAAGGCCAAATATAATGAATATGAAAAGATTGCGACACCAGTCTTGGTGATATGATTAGATAAGGATTACCATGATAAATAAAGTGAAACAAAAATTGTTTTTGTTCACACAACGGAGGTTTAAGTTTACGATTGTCTATCACCGGCAGATTTCTATGTGAGCCCCTGAATTGAATGCTGTTTTCACACCAACCTGATGATTTATTTCGATGGTTTCCTATGGATATCTTTCACCTGCACTTATCAAAGTTTGTGTGTTAAATTATTTTCCAAGCCATTTTGGTACGTGTCCACCTACCCTAGTCTGCATAACACGATTACTCCCTCCTACGTAAATGGGCCCTCACATATCTGTTAATTGGTAAATACAGTAGGATGTGATATACGAGGTTGAGGTTTCTGGCGAAGCAGGTGATGGATATCCGTTTTTCATAAGTGTGTCTGTCAGAAATTGCCTTACATCATCCATTGTATCAGATGTACAAATATGATGGACTCCATTAGATGAGCATTTTACTAAGCCTCTATTATATTTCGTTGGACAAAAACTGTAGAAACTTAAGAATGGTTTCGTCCAAGTAGGCTTTTTATAAATTGATAGTCTGATAGATCCATCTTTCCTGCGATAGAAGAGTATATCAAGAAATACAGGTTGATGGTTTTTTTCTTCTTCACATGTCAGGCCGATATGATCTTGTACGGTATTAAGTCTTTAAAAAAAACTCATGGCATCATCATCTGTGTCATTTATCACAATAATGTCATCAATATACCTTCTGTAGAATGTGACATTACTGATTAAATCCTGAGCTATTAGCTGTATATGTGACATATGTACATCTTATAACTGTCGTAATGGACTCCCTGTACCAACACAAGCAGGTTGCATAAAGTATTCACCTTCGAAAGTGAAGGTAGCTCTTTCGAATACATCAGAGGAATAGGGGAAGAAGCATAATTCGCGGATAGATAATCTCAAAGTATATTAACTCTCTTCGTTAGAGGTACACTGGTAAATAATGATTTGACATTAAAAGAGGATATTTTCTGATCTCTGATATTCATGTCAATAAGACAATCAGCAAGTTTAAAAGTATCTTTCAATGAATACTTACATAAAACATTCCAAGTTGGACTCGGTATTTCGGCTAACCATTTCACCAATTGGAGTGTGGGAGACTGACACATTGGCAATACTGGACTTAGTGGATTATCAACTTTATGAATTTTTAGGGGTCCACATAGTTTGAACTCCACTTTAACAATAACATTCATATTAAGAAGTTTAACTAGACTATATGTTACTTACCCTTCTAATTTTCTTATATCCTCTGATGGAACATCCACCATGAATTTACTTTCATCACAAAGAATAGACAATATTTTATTTTTGTACTCTACTTTGTTCATCAACACAATACCTGATCCTTAATCAGGCTTAAGAATCATCAAATCAGGATTATTCTGTGATTTTTTTCAAGGAATTAAAGTATTGATTGGTTAAAATGTGTCTGTGTTTCAGATCTGGCTTATGGGATTGATAAGTGATTTTAACTAGTTCAGTCTTTAGCTAACTTTGGTTATCAGAAGAGGTAGGAACTGGTGAACTTAACTGTTCATATAGATTTTCGAAATGGGCATCTATCGCTAAATATTTACTATGATAGAGTATGGAGCTGAAAAATTGAATCCAAGGGAAAGAGGTTCTTTTTCATATACTGAGAGTTCAACTGAAGACAATTTCTTCACATATTGATTCATGTGCATAAAAACAATCTGTTATTTCACTTTACTTACCTTGGTAGTTCTTATCTGATTATATCGCCAAAACTAGTGCCACAATCTTTTCACAGTCATTATAATCTGACCTTTCATTTTTATTATCATTTTCGTATGTAGATTGATTAGAAAAGCAAATGTGTGATCGGATTATTCGAAACGTATTGCGGAAATACAACACATTGTTCAGATAAACTTCGTCTTTTAATAACGTTAGCGGAAGTTAGTATGCTGGACTACTATTGTTCATCAAGAAACTACCAGAACTATGTATAACTTGTTAAAAATTCATCAGAACGAACAAAAGTTAAATGTTCAAGTCTGATGGGACCCACTGACCCTTGTCTGACAACGTACTTCCAAATCAGTGGCAAGATATACAAACAGATGAAATGAACTCCAATGGGACCACAGATATTCGGACTAATTGCAGAAGCAGTGAAGCAGAGACTGCAAGTCATGATTCTACCCGTGATTAAACCGAAAATCTGGATTCTCTATGAAGATGTTGCTTTTGTTATCATTAAAAAAGATGATCTAGAAAAAAAATCACCGTTTGATCAACAACGTTTTCAATGACATCAAACTCATAATGGAGAAAGATTAAAACAACCAACTACCATTCCTGGATGTCTTAGTTATTAGGACGAATGCCGGAGGGCTGGAAACTCGAGTGTACAGGAAGCCAACACACACTGACCAAATCCTCAACACAAGTAGCAACAATCCAACAACGCACAAAATCTATTCAAAAGAGCGAGAACACACTGCAGCACACCAACTTCACAGAGAAAATTTCTTGGTGTCCATCCTAAAGAAGAACGGCTACCCACGAAACTTTATCAGAAGATGCCTATCCCGTGCATCATTAACTACAAAGTCATCGACATAAATCAATAAACGCATCATCCTACCATACATAAAGAAGATGTATCAGAAATCACGACAAGATTACGGAGACCACTTAGGATTGGTGTAGCTCATAAACTAACAAATTCCCTCCAAACACTATTATACAGACCAAAGGATGCAACAAGCAAAGAAGACAAACCGAATATCATTTACAAAATCAACTGCAATAACTGTGTTCAACGCTACATTGGAAAAAAGTGTTCACGCTTTTTACCGTCGTCTACGTGAACACCAATTGGCTATTAAATGCTACGACATTTCATGACTCATTTCAATGCACGTGGATAATTATGGACATGAATTCAATTTTGACAATGTAGAGTTCTTGGATAGAGGAAACACAAAGAATATCAGAGAATTCCTAGAAGGTTGGGATTCAGGTCAATCAGTCAGCAATCAGTAGATATATAAATATGGACGCAATCTAATGATAAACGACAGAAAGGTGAGAGGTCAAGTTAGAGGAACAGCCAACAGGAAAATGTATACGTTTAATGACACAACAATCTAAAGAAACAACCAATCAGAAACCAGTTGGTCAGGGTATGCTACTAAATCAGTTCACTTCAGACTGAAGTTAGTGCTGATAATGTCGTCTAGTAGGACGATGAACTCTTCACAGTTAAACAACCCAGCTCAGAGAACACAATACAACCAAGACCATCCACCTGAGCTACAAATATTCTCCACCATTTTATCGAAATCGTTCTATTATGTAATTGTTTTTGATTCATTTGCATTCAAAAACAAAAAAATTTTACCAAAGTTTAGAAATTATTACCAAGTTAACTTTACTGCAAGCCACCATATACTACTGACAAACATAAGTAGTTAGAAATCACTAACTATTCACATCAAAGTAATCTAAACTGGTATGTAAAGCATAAAACATATCAAGTGAATAACCTTTAGTTATATAATTCTGATAACAAGTGAAGAAGACTTACATTACAGGTGTAAAATAATTACTCAGTGTAGAACCTCTTCTAGCATTCGATATTGTTTCAAATTGTGTTACATCCAAATCAGTTGAACTACGCAATAAATGTGGTAATGCAGAAATATCCTTCATTGTTGTTTCTGTAGTCTTTGTATCACTTAGATCAACTGATTTCGGTTTGTTATGCAAATCTCGTAAATCATTAGAATTCGATGTATGCTTTACTGTATAGACAGTTTGTGCTTTGACTTCCTGTTCATCAACTAACTTTTGATTAATAGTTCTATGAATAAGGTATAAGACAATGAAATAAGAATGAATCATCTGAAAGAGTAGACTATGAACATTGTGATACTGTTATGTAATTTAAAATTATTTACTGGACAACGTTTCTGACACATTTTTTTTTTCCACTGGCATATTGAGGTGATTATACAATTATGAGACACCGTCTAAGAAACTCTGATTCCCTCTCCTTCATTTTGTTGTAGGTAGTAAGATTTTACGGATATTCTGAAATAGGTGTTAAATCACTTCTGTAGCATGTATTTAGTGCTGATTTGATCAACAAAGAATCGGTTATCAATATCTTGCCCAAATCAGTTAAGTTAGTTTCCACGATTATCACCCTTTCCCATCCTATAGTATAGTTGTGTGATTGCATCCATAGCTAAATCTATGCTTTTCTCTAGATTTCTTATGTTAGTAGCCTTCGTTAATCAAATCATCATCAAAAAAAATACAGAAAAATAACTCAGCACCTAATCCAGACATATAGGAAATACTACTACTCATATTACAAATGAGGAGGAGAGAAAATTAAAGCTATGTGACTCAAAGTTGTAGAGTTACCTTGATGTAACAATAAATTGCGTCCAAAACGTGTATCAGTAAATAACCGAATCCAGTCGAAATGTACTCAGTATTCTTGTGCATGTACATGGAATACACAATGAACTTTACCTATTACTTGAGAGATAGTGAAGCTATCTGGTTAGTCAAACCTTAATAGGTGGCGAAGGGTTCGAACCCGTGACTCATCGATTGTAAGTCAACACCATAAACCAATGAGCTACAGCTCTACTTAGTGGATGATATTATTCCACTGTCTAATATAATTAGAAAGAAAACTAGAATAACATCAGTTGGTCATGAAACAAATTGACTGAAAAACTATTGAAAATCTTGAGGTACTTAATGTCTAGTTTGTCATCATTTAAGTTTTTCAACTTAGTTCTAAGATCTGTAGACTCTCTATAGTCATATTTCTTTAAGCTGAATGAATAAAATGCCTAGATGTAAGGTGTTTATTCTCGACTACAATAAGATATTCTTCAGAAAAGCGTACAGTTTGTTGCTGAATTTTGAAACGGCCTTCTTGAAAAAAGGATAAATAAAAGTTGATTTTCTTTCTTACAGCTGTGAATTGGAGGTTTTCAATAAATGTTATCATATACCTCTTAATAAGAGTAATTGAATAGAACTCCTTATTGGGTCTCTTTTGATCAATAGTAATAGTATTAATAATAAATTTGTCTTATTCCGAACCATAACTGTGTTTACAGAACAGAAAGCAATCTCGTAATTAAGAATAACACATGATTGCTGAAATGTTTAATGGCTTCAAGATTATGACAACTGTTCGCTATTACAAAGCTGATTAATAAGACCATGTCTAACATGATTTTCTTCATACAAGTTAAATAAAGTGGTATGGTTAAATTTAAGAATGTATTAGGGCGTGCATAGAGTTTAATAGATTTGCTTCTTGTCTTCTCAGGGAATAGACATGAAAAGAGGTGCATATAAAGACGATGTTTACCATTAGATAAAATATTTTAAGCCAGCTGTCTATAAGGGTTCATGACCACACTTATCAGCACGGTCACTGATGTAGTACTTGCTCTACTAACAGACTTCAAAATCCTTCGCAATACAACGTAGTGATTTTCCTGGAGTCCAGAATAAGGGAGAAACAATAAGTAAGTACAAGCAATACACAGGAAGTGATAAAACGTAAGAGTAGAGACTGAGTTAGTTTAAACATTCTCAGTTTCCTTGCATAAAAAATGTAAAGGGAAGGATTTTCCTGGAAATCACTAAGACATGAAAGAACCAAGAAAGATGACAGGAAAAGCACAAGACAAGATGGATTACGCTTGTTACATTCTCTACAAAAGAGACATCTATAATACAAGAGTCATTCAACTGAAGTTATTTACAAAGGTCTTAAGCGGAAATTAATCATCTGACATTTGGAGGGATTGAGTGTGACACCAATTTTGGCTGAAAAGCTATTAAACTGAGAACAGTCTGGGGAGGAGAAGATCGGCTTGGATACTGTTAGGTCTACTGGGTACTTTAGTTGAGGTCGGTAGGTCACGTAAAAGGAAAAACAAAAGAAAAGCAGAAAGAACAGCACATTGAGGCACACCGGCTTCAGTAAGTAGCAAAGTAGAGCCCTTCCTTCTGTATAGAGTGTACTGTCTTCTCTCTAAAAAATAAGAATCAAGCCAGTTTGTAATCCAAGACAGTGCATACTTTTTGGCTAAACACGTATCATACAGTGATCTCAGCTCAGCATTGGTGCATGTTTCCGAGTTTCATACATACCGAATCTAATGTGGCATCAAAATGAGTTGAAAAGCTGACTAGGTTACTGTGTCCAGGAGAACACAAGAAGTTGCTGTCACAAAAGTAAAAGTCCCCACGGACAATAAACAATGAACTACACATTCATCAGAGCAGCTAATTCTGTGAATTTGTCAGCGAATCTACTAAGTGCACATGCCAAACCTCCATTTTCATGAATCATTAAATATATTCTAAAAAACTAGTTCTATGATAGACGGATTATTGGAGTCTTCAAAGTTTTGCATAAAAGAGGTTAGAGACGACTGTTTACATTTATGGATACTCTATAATCCTTCTCAGTTTTATGTCTTCTACTATTTAAAGCGACTTTTTCTGGATTTTCATCTTACTAATCTGATAGTTTCTTGTGTAGTCAGATTGTTTCAAATGCTTAGCCCTAATACATCACAAATTATCTGTAATCTTTGTCTTCTCATAACATTATTAAAATTTATCAAAGAGAATAATTACTGAATATTTTTAGATATGGTGAACCAGACACTATCTTTACTGAATCGTTACTTGTGATTACAATTCCTGAAGGGTTGAATTCATCTACTGCTTAAAAGCTGTTAAAATGAAGAGTTAATTCTAAATGGTAAAATTTATGTATAAGCAGATAACTCAGTAAAGGTAAATAAGCTTAATACTGACGTGTTTCAATACTTCTGAGGATCCTTATGTTAAAAGAAAATAATTTTCCAATTGTCTCCAACTTTTTGTCTAACTTGCACAAACTATTACAACTAAGAAACATAACAAAAACAAAATAGTTTTTCAAAACAAAAAATGATACTAACAGTCATCTACCTTAGCATATCTAATTGTCTAACTAATGTTTCACGTTCTAATGCTATACCTTCACTGAGTTCAATTGCTGCTTTAGCTCTACGTCGACGTTCTTCACGAGCTTTTTTCTGTAATGTTTCAATATATTCTTTACAGTCATTTAACATTTCTTGTGATTCTTCTAGTTTACGCTCCAAATCTTCTTTCTCTTGTAATAATTTTTCTTTTTCTTGGGCAATAGTTGTTCGGGTTTTTTGCAGTTCTTCAACTTTTATAGATGCCTTAAATAGAAAAAAAATTGTTTCATTCAAACAAAACTATGAGGAACATCATTTTTATCTTATGTATATTGAAGAGATTTCAGTCTTTTTGTTCTTATGATATTGTAACGAGGATGCTCAAAGGTGCAAACAAATTAAAAAATATGAGAGGATTATATAAACTGGTTAATTTGTGGTACATTTATCACTAATTTCAAATGAATACGAATGTAGTCATTACAACATCTGAATAGATCGAAACTGTTGTCAGTCTTCCAGGGGAACCGATATAGCAGTCACAGGAATTTGAGATACAACTGTCGCTTCTTGAGTTAGAAAAGTCTATTCCATTAAAAAGGTGCAGCCAAATACCTTGTCTCTTATACAATGCTAACATTCCATAGGGGATTCTATGATTATCACCTTGAAATCAATCCATATCTACAAACCACCAAGTGAATTACTGTCAGCTACCCACTAGTGATATGTTTTGAGATGAACTTTCCGAGAATCTAGATAGAAGCCAGATGTGAAGGCGAACACGATAATGGCATTGAGTGATAGTTACGCAATACTGTTAATTGAATTCCATTTGATTCCAACCTGGGTAACTGAATGCTACTGTGATTGGTATGAGAACAGAAGGTTCTAGGATACAAATTTCAGTGGGTTATGGATGCTCATTGTTGAAGAGCATTAACCTAAAACGGAACAGTTATCTACAGCTCCGAGGTTTTCAGTATTTGTCACACTGATTTCAGTTTATGATGAAAGTTACCTTAAGATTCCATGGGGTTAACTCAACCCTCTTGCTGATTATTTGATAGATTACATTTTGAAAATAATAATTTCTTTAACTAATCATTTATCCATTAGTATTTCACAAATATTCCCTGGAAGATGTACTGAGTAAGATCTGTCTGGATTAACATCACAATTTGATATGAACTGACAAATATTCTGTTTTGTCACTGAAGAGTAATAACAGCAGGGATAAATAGTGATTTATTCGAAAGATACGAATTCTGAAAGCAATAAAACACCACTGATACACAATAATCAAACCAAAGAGATTCGAAGCATATTGAGAATGCAGAAGACGAGTTAACACATATCTGTTTGGATTTTGAGCTAGTTGTGGGGGCAAAGCCTGATGGTCGTGAGGACAGTTACTCAATGATCACATTGGGTGGCGGTTACGCTATATCGTGAGCTAACAGGAGTTGGAAATACTGAACACTGGATTCTGACCCAGTGGCTCAATGGTAACGTGCTGGCCACGGGATCTGAAGGTCGCGGGTTCGATCTCTGGCGGGGTCGTGGATGGGTACTGCAGTGGAGTTTCATACTAGGACAAAACAGCTGTTCAGTGCTCCTAGGTCTCTTTTGTCCCTCCAACTGATATCAGTCTACGATGAATAACAACTTAACATATCTGTTTACAACCAAAAGATAGACCTTTTGGTGACTACAAATATAAGTAATTAGGTTTCGTCATGCTTTTCAGACAACTTTGTAGGTTGTCCTATTAACCGATTAGTTATTCATATTCCCTTCAGATTCATTGACTCACTAGAATAGGAGATCTGATAACCTTGATAGCACATCGCATGCTACTGATGTCTATCCTACTAACACCAGCCAGTGTCAAAAAAAACTTGGCTCCTAAATCAATAAAACTACTTGATACTACTAAGTTGATGTAAGACCAGTAGATTACTCCAAATTATCAAATCTTAAGGAAAGTTCATTAATTTAGTTTCAGTTGCAGTTTTGAAGATATCATTTTTCCTCATCTCGATTAGCATTTACCCGTCTAGTAGTAACTGTTAAGTGACTATGAAGTGACCAATCAAGTTGAAGGTGCCTTTGTGACGTTCTGGGAAGCGTTGACTTGTTGAAGGATATTACTGACTAAAGACGGGTATATGTGGAATTTTCATGATACTAATTTTAAAATAATCGAGATAAAGTTTTTCATATGATCGCTTTACCACTTTTTTTAAAAACTCTTTGAGGTTTCTCATCTGCTAGTACTTCCTCATGATTACTAGAATCATGAATAAAAGGCTGAGACTAGATTATGTTTTAAAATTAGGTTGTAAACACTCAACCTATTCAAAACCTTTACTCTAGCCGCATAAACCCTATCAACTCAGAAAGTAATAAGCCAGCAAAAGTACAGAGAGTGCGTTCCAAATCAAGTGTTGGCTCTGGGACAGTGTAATAAAGTGAAGGTTAATTGGTAGATATGGAAGTAAATTGTATGAAGCCTTCCCTATCTATATTACTTGAATTTATTAATATCTACCATGTCTGAAAGATGGTAACTCCACCTATTTTATTAACCGAAAAACGTATGAACACATATGCAAAGCTTCCGTACTGGTCTTCTCTTTATGAGAAAAGAAAAACTTCTGCAGGATTTTCTCATTTTCAAAGGATATTTCATGAAACAATGAAACGCAATGAGAAGAGCGAGATCATCTGAAACGTGAGTGATGTTTCAGCTCTATACACCTCAAAAAATATGATCATACATAAACTTGTCTATTAATTGATATAAAACTTAGAAAGCTTAATTGGGCCAATGAAATTATAGTTAAGAAGGATAACAAGCGTAGAATGAAAACAAGAGAGGGAAACGATAATAAAAGTTATTTTCATTTTGATTTTCTGTGATATCCAGGGTTTAGGAGACTAGTATTGATACTTGGTGATGATTGAAGGTGAAATGGAAATTTAGACTGCGGTCGGATTGGAACCAGTGACCACCGCATTTCCGACCCGATGTACTACCAACTGACCTACGACACAGCCAGTGTCAATATCGTCAAGCTATAGTAATGCATCACGAATTCACGTGGTATTTTGGGCTAAAACCTTCGTGACTGAAGTGAAACCAAAATCTGGTCAGCAGTCGGAGCATATAACTCAGTTGGTAGAGCCTCGAGCCGTAAACCCGGTGGTTACCGGTTCGAATCTAGCCGTGTTCTAAGTTATCATTTCACCTTCAATCATCACCTAGTATAGACAATAATAATAATAATAATAGGTCAAATCATCACCAGCAATAGTATGAAGAGTTGAACTTAATACTATCAGGACACATTTAGTGTTAGTACAAATTGTTTCTGAATACACACAAACGGTTTGAATTTAGGGATAGCAAGTGCTTCAATAAATCTATATATTCTTCATTAACCATATCCATATGACAGTACAGTACAGTACAGTAAAGTACAGTACAGTACAGTAAAGGATGTCTTCATATCAATCTTATGACCAGCTTTCAATATGTGTTTTCCCCATCGACGAGGAGAGACGTTTGTTACCTGCACTTGTCTGACTGTTAGAGGTCATTTGTTTCTGGAGCCATTCCAGCATATATTCAACCATTCTTAGCTGTATGTCACGATGGCTCCTCTCCATGTTTGTGTGTCCACACATGCATGTAAAGTAATAGACACAATGGGATGTGATACACCTGTTCGAATGCTGTTTAGGCTTGTGTTGAAGCATAGATTTTGTCTTCTTCACTTAGACAACCATGGTCTCGTAGTGTGTCCTACTAACAATTGATACGCTCTTTTTCTTCAAGATTACGCTATCCGATTCACTCCATTAAATGAACACTTGACTAGTCCATGTTTGTACTGGACTAGACAGCAACTGTGGAAAGTAAGGTGGTATTGTCCTATGGATAGACCTTTTGATTGAGCCATGCCTATTCGAATAATCAGTATGCCTAAAAATGATAGTTTTTCATCGATTTCTTCGTAATTGACGCTAATGTGGCTTTGAGTATTGTTCATTTTATTTAATAAACACATTGCCTCCTCACATTTTTCACAAATCATATAAATTTTATCAATATATCTCCTATAAAAGCCATCTCCTCCAATCATTTCTTCTGCTGACTCCTCGCTGTATGACATACATCAGCCAGCAGGGTACCTAAAGGACTAACCATGATAACACCATCGATTTATTGAAAATATTTTTATTTATAGAGTTTATCTCATTTCCTTAGATGATACAAGAGAAAAAGAAGCAAAATTTTTGACGAATACATTAGTATAAAATGAATATCCATTAATATTCATCAACAGATATAGAATTGGCATATCATTGACACCGATTAGTCCATATTCTCCCACTAATTAAAAGTGTTCATATCATATTGTCATAAAGGGATGAATCGGATAGCGTAATCTTGAAGAAAAAGAGCGTATCAATTGTTAGTAGGACACACTACGAGACCATGGTTGTCTAAGTGAAGAAGACAAAATCTATGCTTCAACACAAGCCTAAACAGCATTCGAACAGGTGTATCACATCCCATTGTGTCTATTACTTTACATGCATGTGTGGACACACAAACATGGAGAGGAGCCATCGTGACATACAGCTAAGAATGGTTGAATATATGCTGGAATGGCTCCAGAAACAAATGACCTCTAACAGTCAGACAAGTGCAGGTAACAAACGTCTCTCCTCGTCGATGGGGAAAACACATATTGAAAGCTGGTCATAAGATTGATATGAAGACATCCTTTACTGTACTGTACTGTACTTTACTGTACTGTACTGTACTGTCATATGGATATGGTTAATGAAGAATATATAGATTTATTGAAGCACTTGCTATCCCTAAATTCAAACCGTTTGTGTGTATTCAGAAACAATTTGTACTAACACTAAATGTGTCCTGATAGTATTAAGTTCAACTCTTCATACTATTGGTCAGTTCGGCTATTCAAGCACAGATGTCTTGTTAGGTCAAAATTGATAGATCCTAGTAAGATAAGGAATTCAGGAAAACGCTTGGTCTTAGCTACGCATGCAACTGCACACAAGCACACAGTAGGATGGGACAGAGTGAAAATCCTTAAAACTAACTTAGTAGTGTGGAGGGAGAGATTGATAACTGAAATGACACCGAATACATGTAGCAGGAATGACTTAGTACCTGTTCCGGATATATGGAAAATCTTACCACCCATGTCAAAACGGGGTGAGGAAGTTAGGACTAAGTATATAAAGGATTTCTCAAAGTTGTGTAGTTATCTTGACATGACTGTGAACAGCATAGGTTGTGTTCGAAACGTAATCCAGTAAACAATACTGTTCCACCGTGTGATGAATGTAATAAATTAAGAAAAATGGAATTACATTCTGCCACAGCGCACATAATTTACTCTTGCATTAGTAACTAGGATGTACGTCCCAGTTTCACGTTAATTGGCTTCATGTATATACGATCCACTCGACCGATAAGTTTAAACTAACACTAGGACTTTATCGGTGAAAACTGATGCACTTTTACTCTTTAGTATAATTGTTTTTATGTCATACCGTCGTTGATTAGACCGAATTGATCGGTCTCTGTTGGCATATGGGATCTTTTGCGGATGCCCCGATATTACCGGTGCTCTAATGGTAGTAATGATGGGTAGTGGCTAGCAATGCAGGGTAGGATGCGCATTTCGTCCCATTTAAGACTGGTCAGCTGGACGTACCTGCTTCCAGATGACTGATGTTGTTCCCATCGGCATTCGAACTCGGGAGTGATCGCTTCATTACTACCATTAAAGCATCCGCACAGGATCCCATATGCCAATAGAGACCGATCGATTCGGTCCAATCAACGACGGTATGATACAAAAACAATCATACTGAAATCTAAACCCGTCGCACAAAAATCGGCTATCGTGGCTCGGTGGTATAGTGGATAACGCTCTGGAGTATGGAGCGATCACTCCCGAGTCTTAATCCCGATGGGAACAACATTAATCATCGGGAAGCAGGTACATCCAGCTGACGAGTCCCAAGTGGGACGAAATGCACATCCTGGATTCCACTGTCAACCACTATCCATCATTACTACTTCTACTCTTTATTTGTATGAATTCACCAATGGTATCGTTCCTCGAACAATGATTAGCTACATGTTCTATAGATTTTATTCTATGCAATAAACTATTCCGATAGACAATTTTAGCTGACTTTTTATACATTGAATTGATTGTATATCATGTCAACCTGATAATATATTATGTCAGTGATTTAAGGTCATTCAACTGTGGAACCACAGTTTACAGTCAAATCAATAAAATTTAATCATTGTGATATTTATTAGCATCTTATGACCCAATAATTGTCAGATATACAAAAAAGGTTAATATTTCAATAAAAATTAACCCCATTCATACTCCCTGTACACTTTACCATCGACTTAAAGTCTATATTACTGATCATTGATTCATATTAAATATATGAACTAACTTTTTCAAATTGTTGTACAAGGTCATTTAAAAGTTTTTCTTTTTCTTGTACTTTATTGTTCAATTCTTCTCTCAATTCTTTTTCTTTCAGTTCCTCCTTGAAAATAGTAGAATTGGTAGGGAGAAGAGAATTTTTTGAATGATAGTCAGTGGAAGTAGTGAATAATGTAATAAAAAAAGGTGAAAAAAAGAGAAATTGAACATATTATCAATTAATTTATTAGTCTAAGATAGAGAAGTAAAGTAAACCGATTCATTGATTTAAAATGAGTGCTACAGTTTTTGTTGACATTAGCATAGTTAAATTGTTTTGGTTCCTGCCTCATTGTTAGAAAGTGTTGAAAGTTTTACATGGTTGCATATATCCTCCACAAATACATGCTGATATATTATAAGATGAATAGGGATAAGTATCTGTCTACAAGGTTATAAGTTGCACTCATTGCATGCTGGCGTATGATACTATCCAGTTGCCGAGATCGAAGAAGAGATGAATTTGTACTCAGGATCCAACGGTAAAGCCACATGCGCTCAAACCAATTAAACCGAGATCTATTGTTCAGTAGGTCATACGTGAAGGGTAGACATCAATGCTTAAAATGTGAGTGACTCTAAAGGTCAGTCTATCACATAGTAAGGTAAATAACTAGATTTTTTTTTTGCCTTATGAAAAATCACCGTTACAGATCAAATTAAGAAACTGAAATGACTATTTCAGTAGTTGCTAAAATGGCCCCTAAAGTCCCGGCAGAAAGTTATATGGCCTATTCTTATCTTCTGATCTTCATAAATAAACATATTATCAGTTCTTCCTATTTGTAAACACCATTTATCCTAATAACTCACATTAATTTAAATTAGCTTGTCAAAATTCCAGTTGATTAGCTTAGCAACCTGCCTGATAGCCACAGTTTAGTCTAATGTATTCGATTTACCCCTTCAGGAACCAGTTTTCAGTACTACCCTCGGTCATGTCAAGATCGACGTAAAAAAGTGCAAAGAAAACCGTAGTGAAATCAGTGGTAGAACTGATTATTTTGCAGATGGTAGTTTTGATTATACTTGATGACTATTCATCAGTAAAGCTCGTCAACTTTGAGTAGGTTTCATTAATTCAACCCCGTATACTACTAATGAGCTAGTTCAGATAGGAATATTTACACTAATTCGACATGGCTGGCGGAAACCACTGGTTAAGAATATCAGCTTCTAACTACTGTTATCCACTAAAATATGTCGTACAATTATCCTCTCAGCGCACACATCTACTTTACTACTACTACTACTACTACTATCAGTAGTAGTAGTGTTTCTATAGCAAGTGAAAGAAAGTTCAGTTTTGTCACAGATATGACTCCTATTAGACAGGTTATGGAAAAGTGAACTGCTTACTTTTTGTTTCAATTGTTCTTTCTCTTGGTTCACTTGGTGTTCAAGTTCTTCAACTAGATTATGCAGTTCTTCATCTTGTTTCATGATCTTACTATTGACAACAACAACAACAAAAAAGCGAAAAACAGCACAAAAAGTTGAAAAACATAATTGTTTCACAACAAAGTCTTTACCGAATCAATATGACTAACTAGTCAAGATATTGGGATAGTGGATACACTGTGTTTTGGCATTTCTCATACAGTACTTACCTCTCAACATTGTATAGACTGAGGTCAAAGACATCTAGATGCCAGTTAGACCCAACATCTCTGAAATCTAATCAAATCAGTTCATAAGTGACTATCCCTACAACACTTACATGAGATCTTTATGCCTGTGAACAATCATGCGTTTTGGATTGACAGAAAAATATGATTGTGATGGCTAAATTGACTGTGTTACATGCTACTACTAATAAGAATGTATTTAAGTAGCATGTGTTGTGGTGTCTTTGGAGGAAGTCAAAAGAGTAGATAATCAATCGGTGAGCGTTTTGTGCAGAGGAAAGTGATGTATTTAAAACAGCTAGACTACGTCCTAGAAGATTAACACGAATGACCTGTGAGAAAGGGATGTATTCCTACTGCATTATTACTGGCTGTAATTTTACTAACAAACAATCTGACAAGGTGCACTCTAGGGTTATTCATATTGCTATAATCACTTGTCAATGAAGTTACATCAAGTGTTCTGATGAGGAATTTCTAGAATCTTTCATTCTTTCTACCAAGCTAATAGCATTATGCAGAAAAGACAGTACATCAAGTGTACTTTTCATTTCAATGATAGATACCCAAAACAGTGTATAAAGAGGAAATGGGATATGGTAAATAGCTGGATATATTAACTCAGTTGGTAAATGGAGCAGTTGATGAACATCGGGTCGATGGTCTAAGTATTTTCCCATAGTCCTGGTTCTCCTGTAAGTATGTAAATTAATAATAATAATAACAATAATAATAATGGTTTTATTTTAAACCATATGTATGAGGAAGTATGGAATTTATAGCATGGAATATCTCAACAAATTCGTTTTCCGTATAATATTTTTAAACGAAATAATTATTGTATCTGAATGGTGTTAATAATAACAGTATTCATGGGATAAGTGTGATATGGGCAGCTAGTATTACATTTGCCTCTGTTCTCAATTCGGAAATGAACACACAATCGAGTGTAATTTTAATGGTGGCATTTCAGTCAGCCAACATAGAAATTCAAAAACTCATACCGATATCCTAGGAATAGTAATGTGGTGTATTTTTGAGCATTTATAAATCCATTTCCAACCGATGGATTGTTTCTCCTTTGTTTTGTTCTTAATGTGAGAAATGGAAGTTCGAAAACACTTTAAAAACGCTCGAGAGTACATGACACGTTCAGTAGACATTTGATAAGTTAAAACAAACTAAAAGGGAAGAACTTAATGGAATATAATCAGTGGAAAGTTTTTTGGTAGCTCAGGATTTCAGCAGACCACTTTAGATCGTAGATTTGAGTACCATAGGTGCGTGTACAGACTATTGTTTTGTTCTTAGCTTGAAAAATGAAGGTTCGAAAACATTTTAAAATGTATGACAGTACATGATGCGTTTAGAAGACATTCAGAAGATTAAAACAAACTAAAAGGGAAGAATTTGATGGAATATAATCAGTGGAAAGCTTTTTTGGTAGCCCGAGAGTTAAACAGACCGTTTTCAGTAAACCTGGTTGAAAGACTTTTGATTTGTGCACAATTGCAGCCAGACAGAAATTCTTAGTATTTTCATTACTATTTAGGGAAACACAAATTATGTTTGTTGATCTTTAGAGCACTACTTAGTTATAGTATTACCTCAGTTCTTACATTAAAATCTTTTGGTGTGCCTTGAGCTTCACTAACCTATCTTACAATATACACTTGTTTATAGATAGTCATGATAGACAGTGGGTAGATGTACGTTTCTTTCTACCAAGGATTTATTAGACAAGTGTACTGGTCTCCTGACGAACAGTGTTAATCCCAAAGAGACTCAAAACCCGTACTCACTGCTAGACATCATCTATCATTATCAGTAAAATAAAATTACCAATAATATCGAGGCATCCACAGAGGAGTTTATATGCCACTAACAGCTAGCCGATTCGCTCAGAGCAACTACGAGAAACTATAGGCAATAGCATAAAAGTGTCATTGTCTAGCCATAAAAGTCAATGACACTGAATTCTGTAAAAAATTGAAGTGTGACTCCCTCCATATTGATCTATTAACTGACACATAGACCTTTCTCAGTGATGATGGCGAAATTTTATTGGATGAAACAAATGACTGATTTGTTCTTGCGCTAAAATTTGTATAAATGTTATCCAATAACAGTTGTGACTAATTGAATATTGAGTATGATCAATAAAATAGAAACTATTTAAAGTAACAAACAATTTATTTAAGTTGGTTCGAGTGTTGTGTTCCGTGTTTCAAGGAATTTGGAGAGTGATTCGAAAGGTCATCCTAACAGTTGGTGAAATAAATAATCAATTAAACATTATCATTCTGGTTAAGAAGGTGGTTTTTTCATCAGTAAACGAAACTGATTGGTTATTTCAGTAACTGGTCATGTGACTTTTAGAGTTAATAGAGTCTGAACGGACGATAATTTAAAAAAGGATGAAAACGTTTGTTATTCAGATTAATGATATTGGAAAATTGATTTATTGAAAATAATTTTTAATCATGATTCGTTGTCACTTGAAGAATAATTCGTCAGAAGCAGTAGTGAATAAGTATTTCATCTGATGTTGTGGACGGCAGTCTCCCGTCGTTTGTAGGACTGAAGTAATTACGCATTATTGGTACACGAGCTCATTTTAGGGTTCTTTAATATTACTGATAACTTCATCTCGATAGTAATGTTGGATGGTGTCTACCCTAACCCTAACCTGTATAAGGAGTGATTGTCGTTACTCAGCAGCCTACTGGATAAAGCTCTAACGTTTGAAGCAACAGATACTGGGTTAGAATCACCAGTGGGAATGACATCGCTCACTGGGAGGCAGGTACGCTCAACTGAAAAATTTCAAACAGAGTGAAATGTGCGTCTTCGATTCCACTAGTCATTTAACTTTCTTTGAAGTGAGATAATTAAAAAAGGCGCTAGAAGAAAACTTGAATTGCTATGAAAATTGAACTAGTGATGTCATATTTATTGTTTCCAGGATCTGCCAATCAAGCTGTGAGTTCCACTTATGCAATCATCTAGAGTTTTATTGATCAAAGAGTGAGAAAACAGTTGATTCTGTGTAATGATATATGAAATACCTTGAACAAAAGTTTTGATTTGGTTTGCATGGGAGTGGACAACAGCTAAAACTTAAGCGGATGTGGCAACCATTGAATGTATCATACTAAAGCTAAAATCCGTCCCACTATTCACTAAGTCTCTCATTCAAGACAGTAATTTTTTCTGTAGAGCATAACAAGAATACAGAAATATGCTTCTTATGACAAGTGGATCTACTTATTTCTTGATTTATATGAAGCATACTATTCCCAACCAACGGTGATATGGGGGAGATCATGTAAGGAAGAAATGAAAGCGTCTGGGAGTGGTGTAGCCATGTTGAAAAAACTGGAGAGAAGAGAGTGAAATGGAGACGTACTACTGAAACCCTATGATGATAACAATAATAATAATATTCCCAAAGCATCATATTTGGTTTCGTTAGTCAAGAACTGTAAATTCCTTCCAGTATTTATTTTCTTTCGAATTGCTTGTTTATCTGGTTTCTAACTCAGAGATAGGAACGAATTTCCACTGTTTCATCGCAGATCTACGGAAGACCTGGTATTGGTTTATCATAGCCTAAATAATGATTTGGGTGCTAATTTTTCCTATCTTACCCCCCTCTTTGGAACTGACTAACTGAAAGTGATAAGCCTAGAGATTCACCCACTAAATCATCATTCAGTTTCAAATAAACCACTGAGTATTATACCTAACTATCATGTGAAAAAGAAAACGAATGAGTTTCATTCATTCCTGTATTGCAAATCACCTCAATGAGAGTCAGTTTACAAGTTAGACCTTATCTTCCAGGATGTGAGGCTCATGGTCACGAATTCTGCAGGTTACCTTTCAATTTCAGTCAACAGCCCTACATGTCGATGAATTATGCTTCCACTTCTGACTACCAATAAATAAAACAATTCATGAAAATAGTTTTAGTAAATTATGCAATGACTGATGTATATAATCAACTTATGAGCATGTGTTGAAAATATTGGGTAATGATTGAAGCTGATCTGGTTTGCAGCAGGATTTGAAACAGTAGCCTTCAGGTTACAGGCTCAAAATTCTACCAACTGAGAGATACGATATGCAGCTTTTGACCAGATCTTTGTTGTGCATTATCCATCAAGGGTTTTTCCCGACTGCATATGAATTCTTTAAGTGTCTGACCGACTGACTGGGCAGTCAGTGTGAATGTGATAAGCAAATAGTTAACCTTAATAGTTGAAGCACAATTAAGATCTGACCACCAGCTGGGTCTCGTGACCCACTTGGTCGAACGCCAAGACAGTAACTCGGAGATCGTTTGCTCTAATCATGTTGTGACCTGTATTTTCATTTCCCCTTCAATCATCACCCAGTATCAAGAATACAAGTCTACTAAACCATGGCCATCTCAGATATTTACACTGATGTATTGAGAATCCCATACCCCTTCAGATAACTGGGATTAATTGCAGCCATTCAATTTAGAGGGTTTAAAGTGCTGAATTCAGCCGGGTGTTACGGGTTCATGAATACACCTTAAAAACCCTACAGTTCAGCCAGCTATTATTCTCTGTTTCGGTATCAAAATATCATTCATGAAACTTAAAAAGCCTTGGTTTACTTCAGTAAAGTGTAAATATGACCTACATCCAATGAATCTTGACAGTTCTCAAGCATTAACAGTTTTTACAAAGTCGCATCTTAATAGTTTACTAAGAACATTCACGTAAAAAAAAGATTGATTCCTAAGACCAAGTGTTATAAATGGTGAGTAGTTAGCTGTAGTCACCTGGTC